GGCGGGTGCCGAGGTCTCGCACCGAGGGACGGTGGGGAAGGCACCAGCCGGGTCTTCCTCGTAGCCTTGGCGGCCACCCCAGGCGTCCCTGGACCTCGGCGCTCGGACATGGGGAAAGGTGTCAGGGCTTGAGGTCACGCACTGCAGATACCTGCGGGCTCCAGCGTGTGCGCGAGTGGCAGGGGGGAGCCCCCGTTAGCATCACTGATTGTGCCCTGCGCAGAGAAAAGATCTGAGGGGCGGGGAGGAAATGGCTGAAAATCAGAGCCCCAAGTTTTGTACAGTCTCGTAGTGACACATGAAGTGAATCCCACCGCTCCTGCTGGACTTTCCCTCCTCTTCCTAGTGCTTTCGTTTTGTTCGACAGCAACATTCCCGTGCGCTGCGCTGTGGCAGACTGTGTCTCAGCACCGTGTAGCTTTTCTGTCTCTTCCTGCAGTTTGTCCAGATAAAAACTTATTTTTTCTCTGAACGTGTCCGTTTGCACAGCTAAAATAAAAACAGGAAGCAATTAAAAAGCACTGGGAGTGTGAAATGCAAGATTCTCTTGAGCCAACACACAGTTCTATAATGCATTTGTGACTATCCATACAGTTGTATATATACAATTGCATAGAAATTACACAGTATCACCTAAGCTAACCCTAAATAAAACGGGATGAAGAGGAAACTATTTTCCTCTTTAGCTGGTTTGTTTAGTCTGCTGTCTATTTGTGGTTTCTTCTTTTAATCCTCAACTCATGAACAAAAGAGCAGTACAATTGCAACTTTTTTCTGTATTTTAAAGCACATTATTTAAAATGCATTGTATTTTAAATGGGTCATTTAAATTAACCAGCTATATCCCTTTAAGTATAATTGGTAAAATATGAAGAATTATTTATTCTGAGGAATATTTTAGGTTAATTATGTCATAGCTTTGATTCTTAAGTTAGACTCACTTGAAAGAAAACTCTTTAGTTAAAGGCACAGGTTCATTTCTATGGTCAGGATTATAGGATTAGCAGTTCAGCCAGCAAGCATCACAAATATACACCTAAAGATTAGACAAGAAATATTTCAAGTATGTTTTTATTTAGTGGGGCATTCACAAGATATTATCAGTCATTTAATGCTTCTGTTTCAGTGCTTATTAAATTCTTGGCATGCTTCATCAACAGTCTTGTCTTTAGAAATAAGCAGAGAAATGGAAACATTTTACACAGAGTTTGCAGGCAACTTATTTTTCTTTTCCTCTGATTCTCAAGTGTTCCTAATTATTGTGCATGTGAAATTTTTGGGCGGCATCTAAAGGATTAACTCACATTTTATTCCTAAAATGACATTTCAAGTTACTGCTAATAGACTGATTTAATATGAAAATAGGAGCTATAAAAGATGAGTGTGTATGTGTGTATATTTATGTAGACATGGGAAGATGTAAACAGATGTAAATCTAGATCAGAAGTGTAAAATATTGAATCACCTCTGAAGGATGGCTTTCCCAGGTAAATCCTCTGTGGCTGGGGTAAATGGGGCAAAAATCCTTGGCTTCCTATAAAGTCATATCAACTAGATGTTCCCTAGAAGCATTCCTTTCACAATAAGGGATATAAACAACGATGGAGGAGTGCAGCAGGCGTTGAGGGCTGGCCTGGGCACAGGCTGCACCCCATGGCACCCTGCAGGGAGGCTGGTATCGCCACAGCCAAGTGTCAGCGAAAGAGCTGGTGACAGGTCTGGTAATTGTGAGCGCTGCTGGAATTGCGTTTTCATAAAAAATGGCCTCAACAAGCCCTAGTTTTAGAGCTAAACAAGATTTAGTTTATATTTGTCACCATAACAGAGTAAAAAGACTTGCTGTGCAATGAGTTAGTATTGATTTTTGTTTTGGTCTGTAGCCTCTTAGCTTTCTGACTCCATTATTTTTGATTTTACTATGAAATACATATCCTTTCTACTGACATCTGACAAACAACATATGGAAGTTGTTTTATCTACCAATAATGTGTTTGTCAGAAAAATCAGACACTAATGGGTTGTGCTTCCTCCAGTCCATTTTCCCCAAGTTAATGTCACTGATGTAATTCTAAACATTTAGCGATTTTTGCCCCTTAATAATTTGTCATTCCCGCAGGTTTGTGTAAGAGTCATTTAAGATACCACAACAGGCTGCAAACTGAGGGGAGGTTTTGTGAAATAAGAGTTGATTTTGAATCTAAATTCACCTGCCTTTCTTTGATACCTGGATTTAACACTGTGACTACCAGGTACGCCTTACCATTCCTTTATTTATCCTGAACCAAGAGCTTGATGGATTACGATTTCCTCTCCCTAGTAGGGCATTAGCATATTTGTTCTCATACTTCCCATGGGATCCTTTTTAAAAGAGAAGACTTCAGCAGCAAGGCATCATAACTTTTGAACACAAGCTTAACTGCAAGCGATTTTTTTTTCTTCTAAATTCCAAAAAATCAGACCTCAGGTGTTACTTATGCACTTTACTATAGCACAGCTCTTGCCCTAAGCCTCACGAACACTGAGGCTTCCACAAGAACACTGAGGCTTCCACAAAACCTTTCCAGGGGCTTGTGGCTGGGAATGCAAGGAGAGTTAATCAGATCCATAAAGACCAAACAATATTCCCAAATAATCTTTAAGCATTGAGGCAGCTTCTTGTTTGTGACTTGAAAGTTCCGACTCTTCTTATGTGTTGTCTGCCTTACCCGTTTTACAAACGCATGCTGCTTACAGCACAAACCATTCACTCCTCCCTGCTTCTGCACCTCAGCCGTCTTGGACTGGCCCCAGTACACTACATATAAAGCAAATGGTTTTTGTAAGTAAGTAAGATGGAGATAAAGTGGTTAAAATTGTGAACAAAAGCCTGCAGTTAGCAGAATTACTTCAGGATTTGTTTGTCACTGCAGCTAGGCATAGAAGTATGAACGGAGCACTGAATCTGAAGAAGCAGAAAATGAAACAGACAGTAAAGCAAATACTTTCGTGTCGGGTGTACTGTCATGTGCCACCCAGGACTGATGATAGAGCAGGTTTGCAGTACAACCTGTTGGTAAAAAATGAAGTTGTTAATTTAGCATGTACAGGTCCGTTCCAGGAATATTTCTGAGCTGCTGTTAGTTTATTTGCTCATGTGAAGTTCCACTTACTTGTCATTACTAGACTGAAATGAGTTTTCAGTGGTTAGTCATTGCAAAAGGATGGAAGTTACATATATTTTTTCTTGTGCAAAATGGAAAGCAGTTTGCAGTGCATGTGTGTATCTAGATGAATTTGGATTTAGAATTTTGTATACAGGAGAAGAATTTGGTACTTCTGAGTTTCTGAATAATTCTGCAACCTCTTTTGGTCTGCAAGCACTTTTCCTGAGTTTAAATATACTTTGGTTTCTTTAGAAAAAGAAATGTAATCTTTTACACATACATATGTATGTGCTACTAATGTATAATTAGTTGCTTGTTTATTTAAATTGGTGGTTTGTATATTGTTTAAAGTATTTTTATATGTTCATGAACTCTCTGATCACCTGCAAAAATAGCACTGTTTCATCCTACATTGCTTTTTCCTCACCTTTTTGGCACTCTCCTTTTCACTTTATCGCTTAAGACTGTGATTCTGTGACTCAAACTCCTGTCCTCAGTATCCTGTCAGTGCAGGGCAGACACAGCGGCACTTTCAAGCTATCCAAAAGCCAACTGAATTTATGCCATAGTGTTAGCAGGCAGCTGGCCTCTGGACTTTGGCTGGGGCAGGTATACCCGCTCTGACATCAAGGCCAGTAGTACAGAACCTTTTAAAACTGAATTTGAGCTATAAGAATTTGCACCAGACCAGCCTGTGCATAATGTTGCTGCTGCATTTCAAGTCTGGCATCAAGTTTCAGGGATGATGTGGTGTTTCCTTGGGCTGTGGCACAAGTTCAAGCTTTCACCTTGCAAGGAAGCTAATTTAATCACTCAGCTTTGGTGAAAGGAGCAACACCAGACTGCACAACAGGTGCAGGAGAGCAAAGACAGACCATCCCTTTGGCAGCTTAGATCAACGTAGCTGTGATACAGAACTTCACTGTCACCCATCACTAGTGTGACTTTTAAAAAGAAGTGCATCTTGCATGTATGAATGCTCTGAGCTTCCTGCCAGTCTAATCTGGCACCAGTCTATTCTAAACCAGAAGATCATCTGGTTGACCCGTGAAAGAACTAGTAAAACCTATCTTACAGCACCCCAGTTATGTGTTTAATGTAGCTCATACCAAGGTTGGCAGGAACTGCTCTTCTTTGCCATAAAGTCACTGGGATCAGCATTTGCTATGACAAAATAAAGCCTCAGCCTGGGATTCAAAAATATCTTGTGGAATCTACATGTACTGTAAGGCCTCACAGTACAATTCAGAAGCAATTTTGTTCATTGGGTTAAACAGCTGCAATTCGGTCACCAGAGAATTGTATGAGCACACAATATTTAGTGTTTATGTTAGGAATATTTATTACCAGATTCTAAGATTTTTTTGTGAAATTCATCTAATGATGGAACTCTTAATGCCAAACTAATCACTTAGCTTGTCATGAGGAGAATGCAGGTGGTGGCACATATCTTGGGACATCCACAGCTGGAGCCAAGTTCACCTCCATACAAGCAGAAGTAGTTTTACTGCTCCATATGGATTGAACTCCACTGAGTTGTCTGCACTGTTCCTGAATCCTCATGTTCTCTGGGAAATACTCATGTCATAAACCTAGCAGTTATTCTGCAAGGACATCTCTAGCAAGTTCTTAAATTGGCATCTTGAATGATACCATGCGTTGCACAAGAATGGCCAACTTACTGTTGCTTTTACTAAAGGAGTTTTTCTTTGTAACAGGTTTTAGGCTGCATTACAAGTTGAAGTTTTTTTATTTCTGTTACGTACTGTTGTAAAATATATTCAAGGCACTGCTTAGACATGGCATTTATCATAGGCTTACACTAATGTATACTGACATTACACCTGCTCTTTGTAGACCAAGCCACCCTGGTAGATCAAGTGAAACGAGCAAAAGAAATTGAAGCTATTGAAAGTGACTCCTTTGTTCCACAGACATTCAGATCAAGTAAAGAAGTCAAAAAGGTAAGTTTTCAATATCCTTTCTTGGAGCATAATCCTTTCAAAGTCAGGTGGAAGCTGCACTATTAAACAGTTTCCAGCATCAATGTTGACAATCTTAAATCCCACCAACAACTCTCCAATGTTCTTGGTGTGGTGTTCAAAGAGCAAATTTTAATGTGTAAGAATTTCAGGGAAATTGGATGTTTTGACAGTATATTTACATATGGTGAGCAACTCCATTTTTTTTTTAATTCTTTTAAAATCATATAAATCCATGAAGATTTTTTTTTCTTATGGGAAAAGTAGAATTAAAATCCAAAAGTAATCCGACATTTACATTGTAATTAAGGGTAGAGGTCTGTATTTTTTTTATTCTGCTTAACTGAAGCCAGACTTTAAGACCATATTTACTCCCTGAACCAAACTGGCATTGGTTTCAGTCAGCTGTCCAAAAACTTAACAGGGAACATCCAAGTTCAAGAATTTTACCTGCATTTTGGCTGTCAGATATTCTAGGGAACTTGGACTCTTTTGGTTTGGAAGTATGCAGGCAAAAGTTTTGTTCAGGTTTTCCCTCTGAATTTTTGAGTTATCACTGCTTGTTTCCCCAAGAACTTGCATTTTCTTGCCTTTATAAAGTCTCCAAGAAGTTCCTGCAGCCTCTTCAGAAGTGATCCAAAATGCCAAGCTAAGGTTCTGCAAGCTCTCTCATTGCCCAAGGCAATGAGTTTGGGGTTTTTTTTTCAGTTCATGTGCTTAGTCTGAACTTTAGTCCATACCCAGTGTGTCCCACTGAGCATGCTGAGAACTATTTGCATGAAGATCCTTTTGTCGGCATGTGCTGCAGTAAGAGGAAAGCTGAGCACTCAGTTACAATTCTGCCACCTCTGGGAGTCTGAAGATAAAATACTCAGATGTGATTCTTTCTTTTTAGTCAACAGAACCTACCGAACCAGAGTATGAACCTGTAACTATCGGAGTGGGAGCTGTTGATACATCTGCTCCTGAAAAAGAACGACCATCTACTAATATTCCTACTGCCATCAAATATCAAGATGATAATTCTTTAGCACATCCAAATGTAAGTGTGCCAATATTTACTTCATCCTTAGAACATGACAGCCCACTGAAAAGGAGCAACTTCATATAACTAACAACCATTTTGCTTTGCTGCTCATCAAAAAACCTGTGATATGGAGACCGTTAGCTAATGGGCCGTTTATTGGCTAAAACAGGATCACTCCTTGCACCATGTGACAGAGAATAATTACAAAAGAAGTTCACTAGTGATACAGTTTTAGAACTACAAACAAATTTTATAACAAAGCAGCACACTAATTGAATGCAGGGGAAATTAAGATACTGTTCATATAAAAATCCCTGTTCAATAAAAATTCATGGAAAAATGCTTTTGGTTTCTGTAGTTGGAAACCTGGTGAAAGACCCAGAACTTTTCGACCTTGGCAGATTGTAAAGCTTTAAATACATGACAAACTTAAGATCATTTTAAATCATTATGGCTAAACTTATCCTTTGTAATTGGAAATAGGAGTACTTACAGTAGAGGGGTTTTTAAGTATTAGCAAGTTATAAATGACTTGCAGTAAATAAACTAATCCAAGTTCTGTATAGGGAACATGGCTAACAACGGTTAAGACCTGTACAATATGGCAAACTTGCTGTTTCGGGAGAAGACTGAAATTGGAATGTCTTGGCTTTCTGATTCTTAAAAGTCACTACCTTTATGAACGTATTTCTATCACCTTTGTATTTTAACACCCCTGTGCAGTTGAGCACCTTTGGGCCTTTGGCCACCAAAATAGTCTGCACATGTTTCAACAGAGTATAGCAAATAAAGAGAAAGTTAATGAGTTGTTCCTGCTTTTCTTCCTCTCCCCCTTGCCTGTCAGCTGTTTATCGAGAAGGCAGAAGCAGAAGAGAAGTGGTTTCAGAGGCTGATTGCTCTCCGGCAAGAACGGCTGATGGGCAGTCCAGTGGCCTGAGCAAACCACTGTGACCATCACATACCAGCTCTCCATGAATACTAAGAAATCCTACCATTAAATTGTTTTATTTTTCTCTTTTGAGGAGATTTTAATACTCAGTATGAGTTGTACAGAAAATAAAGATTTCATCTGAAGACACAAGAATGTTCTATCCTCCGTCTTTCTTCCAGACTCATTGATTGGTGACTTGTATTGCCGAGCTACCTGCTGTAGATGAGCAGGCTGTCAGAGCAGGGTTATTTTCTCTTTTTGTACTGAATTCCTCTGGAGTGCAAAAAACTTGACATCCCAAGAAGATGTAATTTTATAGCTTCCAATCAAAAATATATTTATAATCATGCAGCAGTTTAAAGAAAAATGCAAAAATAAGACTGTCAAAGTTCAGACTTACTAGCGCACCAACAGTAGGGGTGTGAGCGGTATCACCCTGGGCCATTGCATCTGCTGCAGCTGGAGGAGGATTCAGGGCAAATGATTTCACTGTTATCTCTTCTTCCTTCCGCTGTGCATTGCAGTAGCAGCCTTTGAGTCCTGAACATCTGTAGACAATCTCCTTGCTGAGGGGCTCTTCTAAATTGATGGGTTGATCCAGCTGCTCCAGCATTAGCATGGTTCCTCACTTACAGTGGGCTTGAGGGGAAAGAAATGTTTTCTTGAACATCTACCCACTACTGTTACCATCTGGGACAAAAAATATGTTACTCTTTAAAACAAAATAGTAAAGTTTTCAATAGGTTTAAAGAAATACTTTTTTCTGAGCAATTTTAAGCACATTAAATTGTTTGATAATCTACAAGAGGCTTTCTATGAACTCTTAATGGGAAATAATAGAAAGATTATTGTGTGTAGTGGTACAGACTTTTGTTGACCAGACTAGTGGCATACCTATTTCTGTAGAGTGACTGTTTTCAGTCTATGAAACTTCCCTTTGTCTGAGTGTGACTTTAAAATACTGAATTATTAGTCTTACTTGAATCTATCAGATTTAGCCCACCTATACTTAGGAAAAAAAAATCTGTCCTTCATTCAACTAAAGGCCAGAGATCAACCAAATAAAATACAGTAGTATTTCTTCTGAAGTATCTAGCAAAGCTGTGAGAAAACTATTACTTCAGTAGATGACTAACCTGAGTCCCCACCTCTGGACATACCTCACTGGAAATGACCTGCCTCAGCTTTCCCGTGTGAGTGAAGAAATTCATAAAGCTTTTTTTGGTGTTATTTTTCCTTGTTCTCAAATCTGTGGTGAGAAAAAAAATAAGGAAGGATGATTCTGGGAATGTGCTTTGGTTTCTTTATTTCTTTAAATCACTGATATAAAAGGAAAATGTATTAAATTTGCATTCTAACATGTTTTTACTTTTTCTGTCTGAAATGGGTGAGTTTGACTTGGTCCTGCATTAAAATGGCTGTTTCAACACTGCCTTGTCTTTAACAAAAAGTGGGAAAAAAAATCGTTTCCCTTGTTTCATTTCAGCATTTTCAAATGGTAAATATTTGTCATTGTTCTGTTTTCTAATCTCCTTCTGTGTTTCTTTCATAGTAAATAAAAACTATGTGATCTCCATGCAAGGTACAAGTGTAAATTACTCTTTTTCATGCGTTATGTTGGATAATTTTGGTATTTTTATTGTATGCAAAATTATTCCTTTTATGTAATTCACAACACTACAGGATATTAAAAAATTCTAAAAGCTGGTCTAAGTAAGTAAGACTTAGTGGTAATAATAGGGTGTACCTACTATTGCTCATAAATCAACATCTACATTTGTCTAGAAGATCCATGCTGGAGGAGAACTGTGAACAATATCTGGAAAGAAAATGGAAATAGAATTTAAGTAATCTGAACTGAACAGAAATATGTACTGAAACATGCCAAGCAGAATTTGAAACAGAGCAAATCATTATAAAGTTGATTCTTATAGTTCCAGTTGCAGATTACTGATTAGAAGAACTGATAAATAATTACTCAGAACTCTGTGGTTTTCATTAAATATGTAGCTTGCTTATTGGCCCAGTGTCTGTGTTCATTTAAGAGGCTTTTTTTTTCTGCTTTAGGCCCTATATTCTGTCACCCTATCTTCATTCCTACTCTGAACATTTGTTGTGCATACTTGAAGTTCATTAAGTTACTGGTGTTGGGAGATGAAGGAATTGTGGTTTTACCCAGATACTGTTACAAATCAGAAAATGTACTGTCCTTGTTACAGTCCACAAGATCTCTAAAGATGCCTAAAGCAAGTCAGCGATGCTCAAGTGTGTGTTCTGGAGGTGAGAGGTCACGTGGAGCTGATTCACGACCTCAGCAATACTACATGTTGTGTCTTGCAAGCAAGCTTTAATTTTACTGTGGATGTCTCACCGAGTATGGCTAGTTTGAATACTCAAAACACTGATCATGGAGATGCAGGTGGCCCTTTGCCACATTCACTTGCAGGGAGGCTCAGTGCTTTCGGAAGCTGAGCCCTCTCTAAGGGGCGCCAGAGCAGTGTTCTACCTTTCTGAGAACCTGCCATTGCTGATTCCACGGCTTCAACTTTCAGCAAAAATCAACACTGTTCCCCTGCGTTTGCTCCTGTGGAGTAAAAGGAAGGTTGCATAAGGCCAGTCGTAGGGTTGTAAGTGTAAATCTTAAGACTGCAGCACTTTTGATTCGAGTTGTGTAAACTACTTTGCTTTTACTTGAATAGCATCCTGTGATAAATTATTCATTTTCCTGTCAAAGGTAGGGAGATATTTGAGTGTCAGAAATGAAATATGGAAGAAGCAGCAATATCAGAAATAATCTTCACTCTCTAACCACCTATGCACAACTAAGGAGAATTTTGACAAACATTGCTTAAAATTATTTTACAAGACTTGGACACATTTATAAATTGATTGAATCCCAATACATGTGCACCCCACCGTTCCATGTGTGGGCCCTTTTTGCATGAGTTAAAACTAGCATGTGTTACCTAGTCAGTCAGGTACAATTTAATTAACTGTGTCATAGCATCGACATGAAACTCATGTCAATGTGGACAAATTAATCACCACTACCCTGGAAAAATGCGCTGCTGACTCACAAGCCATGCTTTTCCTGATCCAAAAAAGAGTGACACCTTTCCACAGGAATCCTACTCACTTAGTTTCTTTGCTTCTAAGGTCTTCTGATGTTCTCACATTTAGCATTTAGGACTCTTGCCTATGGAATTTTGTTTGGTTTTCCACTTTGCTCTGTGCTCCTGGTGAAAGGGAATGGATTCCTAATTAAGAAGGGAAAAGAAACAGCTGTTTGCTAGTTATCCAACTAAAACATGGGACTTGTAGCTGTGTTTTGCAGGTTGTAGAGGCAGCAGTGGCATGGTTTTGTCATTCATGATGGGGTCTCTCTAATACAATCAGCTCTAACACAAAGTTCCTCCTAATGCCAAACTGCCTTAAATCTGACTCAGATGAATGGTGTGTAGGAGTGAAAAGATAATGCTGTAACTTGAGCCATTCAGACTTCTGGTAGTCAGCAAAGACCTCTACCCCTAGAAATTACATTAGCAAACTCATTTCACTTAGCCTGCTGCACAGCCACCGTCAATTAAAATCAAACCAGGCTGATTTTGATTTGATAACTTTCAGGTAAAATGTTCACTAGCCCTTTCTGCTTTCTTAGCTAGCATCTCCACAACTACTTTTTATTATGATAATTGCTTGAAAAGGAGGCGTATTTAGTTTTTATTATTATCATTATTACAGTATTTTAGAAAGATTTTTGCTACTAAAATAATGGTATGGAAGAAAACATTGTCAGCCAGGGGATCAAATTTTGCTACTTCTGCTTCAGTCGCTCTGATATGAGTAGGACTGGATGATACCAAAGGCCATTCTTCCATCAGTAACCCAAAACCAACCTTCTCAATGATTACAGTTTTCCATTTGTCAAGTTACGAGAAGGAAGTTATTTTTAGTGGAGATCCTTGAACGTCAGAAACCTGTTTCAGGAGAGATCAGCTTGAACCTATGACTTAATCTACATATGACACAGGGCTGTGGTGGCTTTTCAGCTTGCAGCAGTAATAAAAGCAATGTGAGGATTATTATTACTCCAGAATTTGAAATATTCGCCGTTTGTGATGTTGACTTGCCACCGCATTGCCTAATTTCTTTTCTGCTGGCTGTGCCCTCCCCTCTTTGTGTTCCTCCTTTGCTAAGAAACAGGAAAAAAGAGCAGCAGTGGCTGGGCCAGATTGTGTGACGCTGGGGAGCAGACTTAAGACACTGAGTCACTCTGGAATTGCCACTCCGGGGTGAGATGTGACACGATACGTCTGCTCTTTCTGGAAGGAAGCAGGAGCCGAAGCTCAGCCCAGACAGTGGAGGAGGGAGCTCAGTGCGAACACCAGCCCTGAGCTGTGCTTTGCTCAAGGTGAGGGCCTTGTGAGCTGGAAATGGTGGTCATGCCATGATTTAAACCCAGGTAAAAATCAAAATCACATCTTGGCTATCCTTTTGCTCCTTCAGAAATGGAATATAAACTGGGGATACATGGTTGTAAGGATAGTAATGATATAAGAAGCCTTTCAGCTCTTGGGCATCAGTTCTGAACACACTATAATGTAAAGGCTATGTTTTAAAAGGTGGCATCTCTGCTGAGCTGACACAGTAAAAATCTGATTCCCACTAGATGTCTCTGCTGTTCCAGAGCAGTTGTCGCTCCGAACCTTGGTGCTGCCTAGAAAGGCCATAGAGATGAGAAGCATGTATACCAAATTTACCTTTTTACTTCCTAAACAGAGCTGGAGTCAGGGTAACCAGACAGAGCAATTTGCCTCATAGTTTTCTGGTACCTTACATTCTACATCTTTCCAAATAAAAAATATAGCCCCAAAAGGTAATCTTCAAATATTTTCTACATGGCACAGTCCCTGGGGGAGCTTATAGGAAGGAATAGTGGATCCTTCCCCTCCCTTGTCAGCAAAATTGGCTGCCCAATATCAGCTGCCCCTCACTCACCAGCACAGCAGCTTCGGGAGCAGAGGGGAGAAGGGGAGTGGGGGGGGGGGGAGCACGGCACCTTCCTCTGGACACTGCAGGTCTCCACATCTCTGGAGGCAGTGGCTGGATTTCCATGTCACAGTTCTGAAAGGAAGGCATAAACAAATCTTACTAATTATTATTACTGGAAAGTAAATACAGCTAACATTTGCAAAAATGTCAAATTGCATTTTTTGTTACCTTTTCAGTGGATTTCAGAGTATTCCTTTTATAAATTATTGCTGTCTTATTTCAGTCTTCATACAAGTTGCAGAGCCGGGTGACTATGAGAATTATATTTAAATAAAATATTAATGTGAATGTTATTACACATCTACCTGTAGTTGCTTGCAGTAAAACGATGCTTTTATCTGACATTTGCAAACAATTTATAACAAACCACCTTTGCAAAAGACTCTGCATGGGGCTGACATTACAGATGGAAAGTAATCAGCTTTGTAGCAACACTGTCAAAAGGCCACTTCCACTAAAAATATGCTTAAGCCCCTGGAAATTGCACTGCATCTTTAAGCCTATCTGTAAAAGAGCTTAACTGTAAGAAGTAAGGATACCTCATTTATGCCAATACATTTTAAATTTAAATAGTAACTGCTGATCCTTACAGAACTGACTGGGGCCTGAGCACTGATTGTCTGAGTCCTCTCAAATTACCTTCAACCTTGTTCCTGACATTGCTGGGCAGTGCATGGAAATACACAGCTTGGAGCTGATCAGAGCCCCCGAGTGCTGTTACCCTTTTTTTTCCAAAATAGTCCAGGAAAAGGACCTATTTTTAATATACCGTGCTCATTCTCAATAGTTGAGTAAACAGAGCTGGTCATTTTCCTACATTCTTTGAAGCCTTGCAAAAATGTCATTTAAAAGTAATTGTGTAATAAAAGCTGGGATTTTTTTCCCTAGGTGAACAGTGAAAACTCTTCTTGACAATTAAAACTGACAATTAATTCTTGCCTCACCTGTGAAACTCATCATATTCCATGCTGTATAACTTGATGCTGTGATAACTTGTGCTTTTAATATACTTGGTTTATACAGGACTAATTTAAATGGCTGCTCAACTATCAAGATTCCTTTTTAGTTTTACAAACAGCCTAAGGCAGGCAACACCTTTTGAATTAGTGCAATTGCTTGAACAAACACACTACTGTCCAAACAGTGGTCACAGGTTTTAAACAGTGGAGAAATTTGGCTTCACCTGGTGCAAACCACCTGCAGAAGGAAAGTGTGCTTTTTGGTTTCCTATGGAAATTGTCTCTTGCAGGCACAGGGTAAATCAAGCAGCAATTGCTACCTAGCTCACTTACAGCCTGGGGGTGTGTTGCGTTTGTCTTATTTTACAGCTTGAGGCCATGGCCAAATTCTGAGCTCAATTATGGCAATCTTCACCATTAATCTGATAAAGATGCCCCAGGAACACATTTGCTGCATTTACTCCCAGTGCCAGCAATTTGTTTCCATCTTTCCCTGGTTGTGAGAGAAATGCCCCCAACACAGAGCTCAGCAGAACAGGGTCTCCTCTCCTGGTGCACGGTTTGAGGAGAAGCAAGTCATGTCCCACGCGTCTTGCTGTTAGCCTAATGCACTGCCAAAAGAAGCACCAAAGCCAAGTGGCTTTGCCTCAGTCATCAGAAAAAACGTAAATGCCATGATGCTGAGATTAGAGTATGGTGGGTTTTTTTCTCTTCCAGTGCCAAAAGAGATGTTGCCAGATTTAAGAAATAAATAAGTCATTCACAGAAGACTGATGAAGTTCAGTGTCTTTCACTTGTATTTTGGAGGGTTTTGGCCATTGCGAATGGCAAAATGAGATAGCTGCAAATTACTGAAGTAACTCAAGAACAAAACTCCCTCTGCTTCCTAATACTTTAATGTGTGCTGCCAAGATTTTTACAAATCAATAGTAACTGTACATGATGGCAATGGAGCCCATTTAAACAAATTTTTTTATCAAATCCTGGAATCAATAATAAATGCTCCCAGTAGTACCAGTTCTTGGCTGGTTTGGGGGTCTGTTGGCTTTTTAATAACAAGTGTATATGCCTCAGTTTTCACTTTACTAAACAAAACCATGAAGTGAATACAGAGGGAAAGGTCACAAAATTAGGGCAGATTAAAAGTAATGTTTCACATGATGAAAAATTAAACTCGGGATTTCGCTGTCACAAGATGTAATTAAAGCCAAAAACTTAAAAACTCTCAAATGGATTATTGCTTCTATAGATAATTTAAGGAGTAACATCCAAATACTTTGAAAAAGAAAAAAAAGCTTATCCTCCAGGTCTTGGAAATGAGTTTGTACACTGACAGTGCAACAGGTCAGGGGCAGGCTGTGTCACACACAGCTGTTGGGCACTTTGTAGTAGTTTCTGATAAAACATCTAGCCCAGGTAACTCGTAAATAAGACACTGGACACCACAGAGACTTACCAGGTAATGCAGTGTGGCAGTTCCTACGTTGTTCATATTGGTATTTTGTAAACAGCTATTAAATATGTAAATGAAATGCTGATTTTTAAAAGGGATCTCTCACATTTCTGCACATCTAACAGGATATACTTCACTGGTTCTTTCAGCTGACTCCAAGAAACACACACAAACCTCATTATTTTACTTCACTGAAGCCTTACAGATATGGAAGGCTTCAAATCACAACATGAGGATTTCTGTTGCAGTCTAAATGATATTTGTTGCCCTGACAACAGCATGCAAGCATTATTTATTAGTTCATGCATTATTGATAATCCTCTAATTTGTGTGTGATGGGAGGAAGTTGGTCTGCTAGTAAGTTATAAATGGAAGAGTATCAACAACTTGTGTGAGTTGGTGACAATTCTATATATAGCTAGTACCAGTGCTTGCTCTGCTGATGCCATAAAACACATTTCTTACCCACTGGTGGTGCAAGAAATCTCCTGCAGCCATGAGTTTCTACTCCAGTCTATGATTAATATTCTTTTTTTCCAATTTGGATTGGGCTTTTTTGTTGGATTTTTTTTTTTCTATTTCAAAGACAGAACAATAGATTTTAAAGATATTTCCTAATTATATACAGAGCCCAAAGAGAGTCTCGGGGTGAACACATAAATGTTTCCTCTCACTGATTATTGGGCAGGAAAATAGAAAATGTTAAAGTAACAGTAGAAGACAGAGATCTCTTCCTCTACAAGCAGGGATTAATCTTCCCCAGTTTGCATCTTACATAAAATATGGTTCAGCTTGTCTACTCAAGGCTGACAATGTATTTCTGAAGAGACAAGAACAAAATCACCTCTGGTCAACTCTGAGAGACAGGTTTACTTCTGTCTTGCTCCATTTATTTCATTAGGTAAATGGAGTTATTACCCCAGTTTTAAACCATCTGACATCTCATTATAGTGGCAGACCTGGCATCTTCAAGCACCAGTGAAGAGACTGACAGCATGTCTTGTGATTCAAATGAGATATCAATAGAAATGTCTCCTGATAATGAACTAAGGAGTATTAATTCTTTCTTTTTTCTTGGTGTCTTCTTTCTGTATGCAAACCAGGTATTTCTTTTTGTTATTTTTTAATTTTGATATACATTTATTTTTAAAACAAGAGAACCCTGTAATTTAGTTATAAGAATTATATATTTTTAAATCCAGCTAGCAACATCATCCTTTGATGGACAATCTTAAAATGGGGTCTGGCTCTCATTCTCACAAACCAGTTGCTGTCTGGCACTTTGCCTATTTAAATACACACATAGGAATGCAGTTTTCACCTCTGAGTGTTAAGCATCCCTACTGGTTAAAAATAATCCTTGTAGAGAAAGCACAGCTAATGACTGATCAGATATTAAGGCAGAAATATTCCTGTATTTCTCAGCAATTGCACCCACATGCATAAATACATTTTCCACATATTTATTTTACGAAGCTGTGCTATTCTAAATAAGTTGATCACAATCAGGATCTTCTCTTCAGTGTTACTATAATTGTTTTGTACTCTGGATGGAACAGAAAACACAAGCAAAAGTGAAAAAACTGAGGAAAAGAGCCCTCAGCATAAAGAGTTCAGATGAACAGAAGTGTTAGTAGAAAATGTTTGGAGCAGGAACCTAAAGACGTATCTTTAGAATCAAGGGAGAACAGAGAATTATAAATACCAACAAAACGTCAATATGGCAAAATGACCTTTTGTGCTAGATGAGTATGTTCAACAAAGCTCTAAAGTCTGAATCAGATTTAAATACGCATATAACCAAAATGAATAGGAATTAAGAAGGTAAATTAATTCCTAAGGGAAATCGCTGTAGATCTCATTAGTTCAGGAACGAGATACCTTAAAACTTTTAATTAAAGATAATATTTACTGCAAATGAATAAGAGTTGGCAGGTTTCAGCAGAAACCATAATCTCATTTATGCAAAGTTTTCTTATATTAAGGCAGACATCATTAATCTCATTGGAGATGCCCTCCAGACTGACAGTGCTGTAGCACCAAGGTGATTTCTTACAGAAGTCTTTTTATCTACACAAAAGAAATCTAACTCAAGCAGACACAAACCATAAGAAGGCCTGAGCAATTAGAGATATCACTGTGCAAATAGAGTACTGACTTTATCATGTTAGTAAGCCTCTCATAATGAGCTCACTTCTAACAGGGCCCATCTTCCCACTAGCAGCTGAAAAATTAACACTAACTGGAACTCATATTGCTTAGTTAATCTGCACAGTAATCCAGCTCTGGATCTGCTCTGACTTGGAAAGAAATCTCTTTTGGAGTTGGAGTCTGCATAAAATTAAATAGCAAACTGTAGATGATACGATGTACTCTGAACAGCCATGGGAAAGTTCCACATTTCTGTTTCATCATAGTACAGAATAGGTTTCTTTTTACAAGGCTGAATTCATATAAAGGGTACGCAGTACTAACTGAAGTTGTAGTCTGGTAACTGAAGTTTAGTCTGTTTGGTAACTGAAGTTTAGTCTGTTTGGTATCTGTGTTCAGAAACTGTAAATACATACTGGTAAAAACCTAGGTAGGTTTTGGTAGAAGACTGGAAACGACCACACCAAAACAAGTATTTTGAAAAGATAAAGCTCCAGGAGGATATGAGTTTGCAGGATTTTGTATTTGACACGCTAAAGAAAATTCACCTTGCTGGTTTGTAGTGAGTAATAAGTGAATATTCTAGCATACCATGCCATGGATATTAATGAACTACTACAACAGCAGAAACAAACTGATCCAGGGCATCTTCTATTAATCAAAATATAATGACAAATAATTAATTAATGAATAATGTGACCTAATCACTATGGTAAAGCTACTGCTTATTGCACCTCTAGTTTGAATTTGCTCTAGCTTCAGCGGAGTTTTAAAGAACTTTTAGTACTGAAAGACTAACTACAGTGCAGAGGATGACATTACTACAACATTTGTAATATTTTTGTGTGTGGTTTGAAACAAAGCTGAAATTCTGTCTCTGAGCAATAAAAAAGTTCTTCGATAACATCATAACTGGCACAAGATTTCGTTATAGAAAGCCCCAAAGCGGCAGAGTTCACTTCCATGACTAACGCCTGATTTGTTTTATTTGCTAATCTTTCATCAGAAATGTACAAACAATTCACAGACTTCGCCTGGGTAATCAATGGGTAACCCTTTTCCTGTCACGCTTCCCTACCCACCAGTCAGTCAGCATAAACGTTTTCACTGTAACAACTGCTCCACCTTGGAGTGCATCGTAAGGCTGCAATATCACCACTTGCTAGGATCTAAAGAGAAGTCTACATCAGTAGACAGCAAAATCAATGCTCACCCAATTACAGATATTTTTCAAAAATATTGCAGGCTCAGTTCATTCATCTTTTATGTCGGTTTTCCACTTTGGGCCAAATACCAGCAGAGCTGTTTCTGCAGCGTGATGGATCTTAGTGGAACAAAGAAGTTACTTTCATCACTGCCATATAAATATCCTGATGCTCTCTAATCCCACCTGGTTGTCTGGGGCACATTTTCTATCTTTCCCCTAGATACTGGAATATTGAAATAGATGTGAGAAGAACCTTCACCTGCCGCTTGACAGGAGATGCAAGAGAGGAAACAACCCTCAGGCTCACAGCTCTGAGAAACTTTGCCATCTAGACAAGAATAATTTTTCAAAACACATACATATTTTTCTCCACGATTCTCCTCTGGTACCTCCGGTTCTTTCAAACTGTACTCCTTCAGAAGAAAGTTTGTATGTAACCACAGTTCCTATACACACCGCTATGTGTTCACAACCACCCCGCTCTTCAGGAAACCTAGCTAACACTCTTCATGTTATTTACTCCATTCTTTTACTGAAACCTTCCTGTGTCAAACCTGCCTAGTGACAGGGTTTGCTGAGGAGTTTTTCCTTTACAGTCGGCTGTGGGACTGCTTCTTCCTGCTAAGGAGACAAAGAGCTCTTTTTCCCTCTCTGTTTAACCAGTAACCCTAACCATTCTCACTCCAAAAGGAGGCACAATTAAGCAATACACAAAGAACTGCTATCCAGCCAGCAACTCTGTAAAGCTTCAGAAACTGGATATGCCTTGTCATTGCTCATCTGGTGTAGAGTGAAAGGTAATAACATAATCATACAGTGGTTTGGCTTGGAAGGGACCTTAAATCTCACCCATTTCCAACCCCCTGCCACAGGCAGAGACACCTTCCATTATAGCAGGTTGCTCCAAGCCCTGTCCAACCTGGCCTTGAACACTGCCAGTGATGGGGCAGCCATAGCAAATACCTAACCTAAATCTCCCTTCTGTCAGTTTAAAGCCATTCCCCCCTTGTCCTGACCCTACAGGCCCTTGTAAAAAGTCCTTCTCTAGGCTTCTTGTCGGCCCGTTTAGGCACCAGGAGCTGCTCTAAGGTGTCCCAGAGCCTTCTCTTCCCCAGGCTGAACAAGCCCAGCTCTCTCAGCGTGTCTCCATAGGAGAGGTGCTCCAGCCCCTGAGCATCTTTGTGGCCTCCTCTGGACTTGCTTCAACAGGTCCACATCCCTGTTGTTTTGCAGGCCCCCGAGCTGGATGCAGCACTGCAGGTGGGGCCTCATGAGAATGGAGTAGAGGGGCAGAATCACCTCCCTTGACCTGCTGGCCATCCTGCTTGCCATGCTGCCCATTTTGATGTAATCCTGACCCACACACGGCTGTGATGGCCACCGCAGCAACTGAGGTCAAATACCCCCACTCCACCCCGGCCTCAGTTTTTCCTCTATTTTGCCGGAACAGCTGTTCAGCGCTGCTGTAGCTCGGCCCTTGGTGGTTCCGCTGCGGTGTCCCTGCTCGCCCAAGAGCTGCCCGTGCCCATGGCCGCAGGAAACAGGACGCGACCCGCCTCCCAAAACGGCCGCTTTATTTTACTGCCACCTACTGGAAAAAACACCGTTACTTTTAACATGGCTGAGGACGGGGCAGCGGCCTGTGCAGCCCCGACAGCATCGGGCCGCAAACGCCCGACAGACGCTGGGGTGAGGCCGGCAGTACGTCACGCCGGGGCCCGCACCCTCGCAAGCCGGGCAGGGCCTCGCCGAGCAAAGGGGGCCTTCGAGAGCTGCAGCCCAGAGATCAGCGTGGGGGCCACGCGTCGGGGCCGGTTCCGCTCCCCGCCGAGCCCTGCTGTGGGCCCGGCACCAACGTGCGGCCGAGGGGCCGCGCGGCGGCGCCCGTTGCCACAGCAACGGCAGCTCCCGGTGAGCCCCGCCCCGCCCTGTTCGCCACGGCTGCGGCGGCCAGTGGCGGAGCACGGAGGTGTCACGTGGGGCAAAGGTCGCAGCCGTGAGGGGCCGCGGAGCCGGTGGCGCTCACACCGTCGAGAGCCGTAGCCATGTTCGGGGGTTTGGGGCGCTGCTTCGAGGAGGACCCCTTCTTCCGGTGAGGGACCCACTGCGGCTCCGGGGCGCTGGGTTGGGAGGTGGAGAGCTGCCTCTGGAGCCCTGGTGCTGGGGTTATGGGGGTTGCGAGTGGCCGGTCAGGGTGGGTGTGAGGTGGCCGTAGCCTGAAGGACCGTTTCGTGTTCCCGTCGCTCCGCAGGACTCGTGTCTGTGCGGGGTTAAGCCACTGATACAGTTCCTAGCCGTGTTTCCCCCGTTACCCGAAACAAACGAGGGTGCCGAGTGCATGTTAGAACTAGGGGGAGGGGGTTAAATTGTTGCTAGTGGCCCCTATGCTCGTAATCCTTACTGTGCAGTAGGGAACTTGGTCGTAATTTTATAGTGGCATTTACAGAAAAGAAGTCTTCACCTCCGTTGGTTTGAGTTCCTTGCTTTTGTTTTTGGGTTGCTTTTTTTCTGAAGTTTCTTAGGAAGTGGACAGGTGCTCTATGTTCTCGCTTTTCTGGGGGTTTTTGGTTTTTTTTTTTCTTTTTTACCACAGACTTTCTGAACTCTTGTCCATGCACACACTAAAGGTTGCACCAGGTGTTCTTGAGTTAGGACTTTGCCAATGTCTGTATGAGATCAGTAAAGGCAAGCTGTTTCCTTGTGCCGATTTCCTGAGTGGATTCTGATGCTTCAGCTCGGCAGATTTGCTTTTTTTTTTTTTTTTGATCTCCGTACTGCAAGCACGATAGTGCCTGGAGTAGATGATGTCTATGTACTCAACTCTGAAATCACGTTATTTCTCATGGGACTCTTCTTTTCCCACGGGAACCCAAATCCAAGTAGTGTGTCGTGCAAATGTTTCTTTGTCCTGTGTTAGGATAGTCAAATCTGCTGAAGTATCTAGTCTGGCCCCATTTTATATCCTTCATCAGAAACTGGTCTGTAGCAGGTAAGAATGGGATCGTACAGCTTGAAGGGAGCCTGAATGATTTTAGTAAGTACCAATAAAGACATCGTGTCTTTAGGAAAAACTAAGTGGAACTTGATTACAAGCAAAGATAAGGGGTAGTGCTGGTGGGTGGACAAGGCAGGGTAGCACTTAGGGCCTTGTGATTTGGGTTTGTTGACTGTATCTCTTAGCTACTGGATATTCTAGCTGAGGTTGCGTTTGTACCTCTTAAAGGAGAATCTACTGCTTAGTTGCAGAAACATATTTTTAGCAGTGGGATAGTTTCTAAAGCTGCAGGACTGATTAGTACACTTGGTTGCTAGGAATATGTGCACTATTATAACAACTCATCAGTTACATGCAGAAAATTTCACTATGCAAATCCTCTGCACAAAACTAAAATAATAAAAGAAATTAAGTCTTGTTTGTAGTATTTTGTAGCATGCTTTTGAAGTATTATTGCTTTCCTCTCATTTATTTTATTGCAGTCACTGATGCAGTTTAAAACTAGCGAGAAAAGATGACTGCAGAAGATAATAGAAGGGAGTGTGTGTGAAAGAGATGAGAGATGGATTTTGAGATTAATGTTCTTGGCACTGCCCTTTTAAATCTGTTTTGCATGTAGTTAAGGAAATTAGCTTATTGCTTCAGATAAGATTGGCTTCCAAAATAGAGTAATAATAGGCTTCTGTTGCCTCTTAAGGAGAGATTTTGACTGCTGAACTGGAAAAAGTGCCTGGGTTAAAAGAAATAGGTCTGTCTGTGAGCAGCTGTCCTGGGGAGGCACCAGTCAGTAAGTCAAAATGCTGCCCAGACCTCCCCCTCCCGCGTTTCATCCCTAATAGCCTGGACAGGTGCAGAAGTTGCATCTTCTCTGCCAAGTGCAGTTGGCCTCTGTTTTTAATTCTCCAACACACAGCTCTTGTTTTATTGTCCAGGTGTTACCTCCAGTGTGATTCTGCAGCTTCAGGCTTACATAAGTTCCTAAATAAACAAACAAATAAAACATATCTAATAAAAAGTACAGTTTTCAAAAATAAAAAACTGAATTTATTGTTCTAGGACACTGATTTTTAAACTGACCAGAAACACATGCTGACTTACACTGTACCAGGACATATGTTTTCCAGATTCTCTGTTGACTTCCCATTGGTTTTGCCGTACTCCAGAGCATATCAAAATTGTAGCGTTTGTTTCAAAGCTTAACAACACTAGATCTTTTTATGAATAGCTCGCTAAAATGCCCCTGGGGAATTGGGAGGCTTCACTTCTGTTCCTGAGTCTGTCACAGTGTGTATCTTACTTCCCTGTCTCTGATAGTAAGAAGCTGTATTTCTAAATTGCTTCACAGACCTTCATGGAAAAAAACCCCACAACCAAACCCAACATAAAACCCTAGTTTTAGATGCAGGTGTAAGTGTATCAGTTAGATGTAGGGGAGGGTGAATGACCAAGAGAAGTTGCCAGAGAAACTGAAATAATGCAAAAAGGACAATTTCACAAGGTATGAAGCATTATTTTGTCAGATGAGACATACACATTAAATTAAACCAAGTTTTCTTACCTGCATTCAGTCCATGAAATCTTATTTTGCTTATGATGTGTTGCAGAGAACTTGAGTGTCCTTTTGAACTGGAAGAGACTGGAGAGAAATTTTGTCATATATATATTACTGATGGAATACAGTTTGAGTTTTGATAACCAAACCTGTCTGAAGTTTGTGGTGTCAGAAGAGATTTGCTGGAAGTACATGTCTACTGGAGTGTAGTGCTTGTATGCTTCCCTCATCTTGGCTCGTGCAGTGACTTTTTCCATCTGTTCTTCATCCTGTGAAACGTGAGGGGACACTTGCTGTGTGCAAGCTGCTTATCATGCTAGGGCTGAAGTTAAAGCTGGTCATCATGTGAGTGGGGTAGATTAGGGTCTGCTTAATGACAATGGTAAAACTACTTCTGTACAGGTCCCTTTGCATTGGAGTGAATTAAGTATGGGCATATCTTAAAGGGATATGGTGTTAAAAAATCTTGTTTGAAAACTAATCCAGCATACATTTGTAGCCCCATTTCTTTGCACCTTTTAGTGCAACTCTGGCACAAGAAGAGAGTATATAGTGGAGAGATCAAAGTGGCCACATGGCATGGAAATTAGTTCTCATAGGACTGAAGATAAGGGAGGAGAGAATAGAAAAGCTGTTCAAGAGACTTGCAAGAGATGATTGGCTGTTAAAGTCAGAGGAACAACCTGAAGCTTTTCTTCATGGAGGCAGATTTTACAGGAAAGGCTGTGGTGTCCTGGAGAGAATGAGGGTGTGAGCTGTCTGCAGAGTGCCAGGAAATTGATAGGAAAGAAGATGAGGTGCTATTAAGTCTAAGTAAACATACCTGGGAAAAGATTGTTAATAAAATGGCTTTCAGCAGAATAGCAAAGGGAGGAAATTGGACTGGAGGTCAAGGGAGGAAATCACCTGTATTTTTTTGTATGAAGTAATAATTTGTAGCCTTGGACCACAGGCAGTAGTACTGATCATGTATTGTGCTTCTGGCAAAATCGTATTTTGATCCTCTTTTGGCCTTAGTTAGAAATATTTAGTACGTGCCCAGATTAGAGAATGCAAAGAATGAAGTAAGCAGTAACAGAGGGCAACTTGAGCAGCGTTCTACCTGCAAGCCAACCTTTGGGATTAATCGGGAGGTTCTAAAAATCTACAGGTTTTTGGAAGCAGAGGCTGAGTGTTCAGAGAGAAGAGGGAGAAAAGTAGTAGGAAAGCAAAAAGCCAGTAAGAATCTTTCTTCCTAAGCAGAGAAAAGGGGTATGAGAACATGATTTATGGAGGGGGTAAAAAGGGATACAATAGTGGGTGACTAAAGTAAAGGAGATGGAGCTGGAGATGGAGAGGATTGTATACATTTTTGAGCATGTGAGTCAAGGAGGATGAGAAGTAGAATGGAAGTGGCCAGCAAAAGAATTTGAGGGGTGATGGTGATTGAGTCTAGTGGGACATAATGAGTTCAGTGAGTAGTACCATACTAAGCTTAGAGAGATTAAAGTCAAAAAAGGAGAGGGGAAAAAAATTCTTTTAATATTGGGGGTTGGAGGTAAAAATAGTGTTAAAACATGGATCAGTTTTATAGTTTGTTGCAGATGGTAAACATAGGCTGGAGTGAAAGATGGCTGCAAAGGCTGGAATATTTTTTGGGAAAGGTGAGGAAAGAGAAAAAGCAATATGGACACACAAGAGTGTAGGAGAGCCATGAAGGCAGCTGGGAAGACAAAAGAACTAGAACATCCAACCAATGTGAGAGATGGGAAGAAAAGTGAAAGAAGCGAGAGTTTGTGAGAAATAGGAGATTGCCCAGTCGGGTCCTGTTAAAGTAAGAATTTGAATAAACAACCATATGGTATGATTAATAAAATGCTTTTTAACAATTTTGGAGCAATTTTCCATAGCTTAGAATAAAACCTGATGACTTTCTGTGCAAAATACCTCTTTTTCAGAGATCCTTTTGCTGCACACCATGAATATATGCGGCAGATGATGAGAAGCTTTTCTGATCCTTTTGGACGAGATCCATTTCTCAGTATAACAGATGGTAGGGAGAGAACAGTAGATCGAAGAGCACGCCAAGACTCTCAGGTTGCTCTAAGAGGAAATCGCAGAGTAAGTATTTTCTTAATCTCTAAGGATTGCTACATGGAATTTACATTTACTGGTAATATAGTTGGCTTCACATTTCCATTTCTGTTAAATTTGGTCCAGTGGAAACAGGGGCCTGGCTCAGCTGTTACAACCTTGGTCAGATTGTTTCATTGCCGAGTAATATGTGAATAATCTCTCTTGGTTCGTTAATGGCCTGTTAATTCACACTGACAAGCTTCTGTTCGGACTAATGACAAGTCTGTATATTATTGAACATTGAATATACAGTATTTAATGAAACAAACTGAACAATCTTAGCAAATAAGGTGTTTAGAAAGGATACACGTTGGAAGTTGGTTCCCTCCCCTCCACCACGATAAATATTTTGTAGCTGAATGATCTCTTAGTTTAGTGAATCATATTCAATTTAAAAAAAAAAAAAAACCCAAACAATTAAAAAACTCACAACTCTTTTCGTGGTGGTTGTTCAAACCTAGATAGTTAGAGCTTAATAAACACAGCTGAAACACAGACTATCACCTGCAAGTCAAAAGGGTAACTGTCAGATTCTTTCCTCTCTGCTCATACATTGCCAGTTAGTTTCAAATATAGATACTGCTGGATCTAATTAGGGCATGATCTTTCCTCTACTGAAGCAGATTCTTAGGCCTTGGTTCAGTAGATGCCTAAAACCAGATTTGCCTTCATTTTCCTTCAGAAAAAGGGTATGTTAAACCTTATCCTGATAGCTCAGAAGTTTGTGTCCCTTGTACTTGCTGGTGAGGGACAGATGTGAGACACAGCAAACCTTTATGGTTACAGAAAGAAGTTAAAGGCACAAAAGCACTGTGCTATTTTGATAAGCACAGAAGAATTCCACACCTGCTAAAATCTTTTCAGTATCTTTTGATGTTTCTCATGTTTCACCTCAGAGCTGTCAGATGTCACAGAAGGCTTGGCACTGATTACTTGAGCAGTGTAGTAGTTGCAAACCGCTTTTACTAGTTTCCCTCCAGAAGTGACTCAGACACTTAAAATAATTAGTTTTGTGTAGGAAAAAATGGGTATATTTACTACCATGTAAAAACCACTATTTTAAAATTACCCGTACTGATTACCAATATTGTCATTCTATGTTTAAGTAAACTGTACCATGTCTGAAACTGCTTTATGAGGAAAAGAACTTGTTGCAACAACACAGTGTGTATCAATATAACATTCAAATTTGAACATGCTTTTCCTTTTTCAAGCAGGTTTGCAGTGTCAGTTTTTAGCACAATGAATGGGGTAAAACATGTTAAAAGATACTGTCATTCAGTTTTGTTATGGTACCTGATGGTCCTATATGTTAGGCAAATATTTAGCTGCTTTTAGCATAAAACAAAGTTTATAAACTTTATTATTTCTCGATATATGTAACATATAAATATATATGTTATTTTTTCAATGCATATTAGAACTGCAATCTAGAAGAGTCCTTAAAGGTACTCCAAGAACTGGTCAATTCCTTTTGTACTTAAAAGTTACTGTAAAGTGTTCGGCACTTCTTTATTTAGGTGGCTTTTATGTAACTCTCCAATCTTACCTTCCTGGAAACATCAATGTGTTGTCCAGCGTCTCATTGCCCTGTCATATAGGGATATTCAATATCAGTTGGTCAAACAGGAACTATATTTGTTGGTGTTTATAGCGACATCTATTTATACAACTGCAGAAGAATATAATTTGCTTGTGGGGATTTGTCTTCAGGGGGTTCTGCTTATGATGGTAAATTTGCCTGGAATTTCTTCGCAATGATCTCAGAAACTGCTGACTTAAACTGCTGAAGTTCATTTTATTGTAAGGAATGTATAGATATTTTAAAGAAATATCTTTCTATTTGCATTGATCAGTTTTAATATATAAAGAGTGCTTGTTAACAGGCCAACTGCACCACTTAATTTTTTTAAGCTCTAAAATTGTACGCCAGCTTTCTAAAATTTAATTACATTACATTAAGGGGACTATTGATTGTTGATTTTCATCAACTGTCAGCAGTGGGGTTCTATTGCATGACTGGAATGAAGTGTTGTCAGAGAAGTGGGTGATGTCTGAAGCACTGTGCCATGTTTTAAATAATTTTGGCATAGAGGTTACTATGGTAAGCAAATGTTTTTTGAATATTTGAACTAGAAGAACACAAGTTCTTCTAGTACATACGTGTGAATAGGACTTACTAAATGTGGTGACAGCTATTGCTTTCCAATATCAATAGTGTAAATATATTAATTTCTATATACCTGGAGACTACTTCATATTATATTGTTATAGCACACTATAAATCACCAAGGTCCTTTTGAATGACTGTTTTTGTTTGATTGAAAATGTTTAATATTACCTGGTGTATATGAAAGTTACTTCTGCTGTCCAGTAACAGGTATAACTGAAAGATGCTGGTCCTTTTTCTTCCAGGCAACGAGCTGTGGCCTCATGCCCTTTGCAGGCTTTGGTAGAGTGGTTAGTATCCCAGGACCAATAATCCTTTTAGTTCTTGCTAGTACTTGTGTACTGTCTGCATAACTAAAGCATGGGCAATGGCGAGTCTCGGTGTGCTTACAAACTGCTTTTGTTGGCATTTACGTATATGGAACAGTATAATTCAAGAAAGATTTTTTTTATTATTATTCTTATTAAATGAAAATGCTGGGGTAGATTAAATAGGCTGATACCAAGACTGGAAAAGTTATTGCTTAGCAGCTGGCTTTTTCTAGTCAGTGATGTACCTGATTGTACTTAATCTCTGGAGACTCCAAACTCTGACTACTGCCTTTGGAAGCCTTTAAAGAGTCCTCAAGTTGAAACCCACTGGTTAAGAGAGTGACTCTAACTTGCAGAGCAGACAAAAATAATAATGCGTCTTTGACTTTACAGATCTGAGGATATAAATATGACATTACAAAGGCACAAATTTGCATCTTGCCATTTGCAAAAAGCTAATCAAAGTTCTTTTGCTACTAACTGCACAGATTATGGTTTTACCCTCTTGCTGCAATCTATGGCATGTAATTCCACTGGTACAGCTGATTAGTAGGCAATATTATTGGTGAACACCCAGATTTCTAACTGTAGAAGGCAGTTTTCTGGAGTTACTGACACTTGCTATGATTTGATGCCCCAAATTGTCTATCAGTATTGTCAGAGGTTTTGATAACCCTTTAAGGATTCATATTTCTTCCGACTCAAAAAAAAATAATATTATTTTCTGTATCTGAGTTTTACTTAATTTTATGCTTAAGCTGCAGGTTTTATTTTTAAACTTTTAAATTCAGTTTATGTATTTCCAGTAGTCCGAGGAATGTGGGGTGTTTGCAATTGCAATTAGCATCCTGGTGTTTCGAAGCACTTCAGTAGCGCAAAGGGCTGCCACGTGCAGCCCAGCAACCAGCCTCTTGGCAAAGCTGCTGGGTTTTGCGGAGCTCATGGGAGCAGTTTTCCCTGCTCTTGTCACAGTCTTGTACCTGTGGACCAGAGCGTGGTGGTGGCACAGCAGCTGTCCTGGGAAGCAGCTATGTGCACATGTGCCTAAACTCACCAACCCGTCAGTGTGTGGTGTTTGCTCTTAAGTTGTGTCCTCCAACCAGGGCTGCTCCTGTTGGAAACCAAGCAGCCCAGTAGGGAGTTTGAACTGGTTCTGAGAAAAAACTTGTAGTAGGAACGGAAAGGCATGATGAAAATATTTATCATCACCACCTGCTGCATTGGAGAGGAGCCCAGAGGAGGATGCTCCTTTGGGACAGTATTGCTGTCTTCCCAGATGGTCACTTAGAGTTCACCCTTCCCCTGCTTTCTGTCTCCCCATCTATGTTTTTTTGTTGTTGTTTTTTGAGGGGGGGGTTATTTAATTTTCTTCAGAAGACAGCTTTTATCAGTATATGCCATCAGCTACATGTCTTATTAATAAAATTCTGTGCATGTAAACCTGTCTTATACCTATCTTCTGTGCAACACTGGATCTTCTGCCTTCATGTAAAAATAATGAATGTTTTGTTGATTACGTTTGTAGCATCAAGTAATTAAGCTGCTATTAAAATACCAAGTTATGATTCTCTGTTTTTTCCCCACTGCCCTATTATAAGTAATGTGTACTACTTCTGCAAAGGAACAGCTGTGTCTGCTGGGATGCATTTTCAGTGTGACTCCATATGCATTAAGGGATTTACATAATAGAGATAATTTGATCTTCAGTAGATTATAAGGCATGGAGCATTATATAGTCCTTTTTACAGCAGAAGCTAGTTAGGTTAGAAGGTATTTGAAAGTAGTTCTTGTAAACTGGCCACAGTATGAGCTTATTTTCACATTCAGGTATCAAATATTTGACTTCTGTCTTACCAGTATCTCCAGCTTAACAACCAAGCTCCCCATGTTAGCTCACAATTTTTTTAGTTGAAAAGATGCATTTTGGCCTGTCTATGTCTATGAATTGCAGCCTTTGAAAACCTTTTTGATGGTCTTATTTGCATTAGAAAATGCATGTGGAAACAGCTTCAGAACTTGAGGAGTTCTAGACTATGTTTTAATTTTAATGTCTTTTATTAGGATGCAGATTTTGGGGACCCTTTTTTTGCAATGGACAGGATGGTGTCAAATATGAGAAACAGTATGCTGGAAATGCAAAGAAAATTTGTAAGTTTTTTGGTTTTTGAGTTTGTTTTTGTGTTTTTTGTTTTTTTTTTAATTAAACATTGTTCTAAAATTAATTGTCTTGGAGAACAGTAGCTGTTTAAAATATTACTCAAAGTCCTGCCAAATAAAGGTTACTAAACAGGAGGAGTTTAAAATTTCCCCCACACACACTATATCGTGGTTATAATTCTTTATGCTGTCATAGATTATTTGCTAACAAAAGTATTTTAGGCGAATGCTTGATTTTCTAGGGGTTAGAACTGCTGTAAGTTACGTGGTCTCTACCTGTTGCCAGAGCTGACACCTTAAGCAAAGGAGCAATTTAAAGCTTTACTGGACATTTAAAAACAAAACCCACAAAGCCTAAATGTCACCCTCTATATAGGCTTTTCTCTGATTTTATTTGCAGTGCTGCTTCTTTCTTCTTTCTCCACAGTCTTTGAAGATAACACTGATGTCTAGTAAAGTGTTGCTCAGTAAATTTACTGTGTTTTATTTGCCTTGTAAAATGGCTTGTAACCATTGTTGCTCAAGTCCTATTTCACCTGAACTCTTTACACACATTATATACTGTATGTGGCAAGACTTATGTTACAGATTATATATCTTCATTACTAAACTATGCCAGGGCAAGCATTTGAGCAGGTGCTTATTGCTGCCCAGGCTTTGTTACCATGTTCCCTGGCATGGGAGACCTGTGGCCAGACAAGGCTAGGACAAGAGTGAGGGTATATCAAATGCTGAGGTCTCTTCCCAACAGGCTGTATCTGTGGTGCCGGGAGTGAGGATTAATTTTTCAGAGGGGTGTTCTTTTCACAATGAGATAGTGTCAGAATGTAAGAAGTATTATAACCTATTATCCACAAGTTTCATTTTTTATTAATAAGCCTACATTGTTTGTAGGATGACCTGTCCATCCATCCAGACGCACACACATTTAGCTCCTCCTCTGTGATGACGTACTCCAAAGTAGGAGATGAACCACCAAAAGTTTTCCAGGCTTCATCTCAGACACGCACGGCTCCAGGAGGTGTAAGTAGTCCTGAGATCCAGCAAAAAGGTGGTATGTAATTACCAAAATCTCATCTATGCCAAACTGGAGCTTCCTTAAGGTTCTTTTTCCTGGAGACAGTTACTCTTATAATTTAGAAAAACATATGTGTTTTTAAACACTGCTGTATATTAAAGGTTTCTGAAGCTGAAGTGCAGTTTTCTTCCTTGTAATTTGTATGCTTCTAAGTATGCATCTAAATAAATATATGTCTATCAGACTGGAAAAATTGAGTGCCAGAACAGCTGATTCTTCAAGTCAGTCTCCAATGTCTTTCTCTTTACTACAGTTAATCCTCTTCTTTTACATTAAAATTCTGTCCAAAATGTAAGATACAAGAAGCAGCCTATTTATGCAAAACATGGCTTCAAATCATCCCTGTTACTCAAGCTGTTTTAAACGCTTATGTAATGCTTCAGATGAAGATGCCCTTTCATTGACTTCCTTGCAGCTGTTGCATCTAATTCTGCTAAGAAATTTGAATTTGAACCCTGAAGCAAGGTTCACGAAAGACTATATGTGAGCAGTAAAGACCGTTGAGCATGACTGGCTGTGGGATATGTTCAAGCTCAAGCAGACACTCAGTTATCAAAACGGTTCTAATAATACACCTATGAACACAGTGATAAGTGGTCGCCTGGGTTTCAAGCCAGTCAACATGACAACCTAGTAATTAGTTATCCCTTCATGCTGAGAATATTGGCATTGGTTATTCCTTCTGTTGCCAAGGAGAATGTTGAAGACTTGTCTGCAAGTAGTATATTTAGATTAGGGTTTTTTCCCCAACAATTAATATCCAGTATGTATGTTTCTCAAGGAGCTTTAGGAGTTCTTGTTTAATCTTTCTGTCTGTTGGCAAGAGGAACAGACTTGATCTGTGCGTTGGTGTATGTTCAGCTAACACAGTAAATTGGAAAAGCCTGTAAAACCTAACTTTTTCAAAAGAAAGATAAAATCCTTTGGGGGGAAAAAGGATTTTTTTTTTAACTTTTTTTGATTGGAAAGACATTTACTTCCCTTTTTTGTACAGGTTAAGGAGACAAGAAAAGCACTTAAGGATTCTGAAAGTGGGCTGGAAAAAATGGCTATTGGTCATCACATTAATGATCGTGCTCATGTCATTAAAAAATCAAAGAACAGGAAGACTGGTGATGAAGAAATGAACCAAGAATTCATCAACTTGGATGAAAGTATGTCTCTTTTATGCAGTTCCCTAATGGGCTTTACACTGTTGTTTCACATACCAATTTTGAAGTTCCAGCTTGAGACATCTTAAAAGGGACTGTTTTTCAGACAGTCTGAGAGTCTGTAAATCAGGTTTCCTTAGCTGATATAAATTTGGAAACTGCGGCTACAGTGGCCATTTATAATTGAAAATGTGTTGTAATGCAATTGGTATTGTTTATTTGTACAACAGCTGCTTGCATTTGAAAGTACTTTTTATAATATTTTATGGTTTCAAACAAGCTGTTAACAGATTTTTGCTATTTGCTGTGTGTTGGTAGCTAATACATGTTTGGGATGTGTGGTTAAAATGCGGCTGTATTTTTACAGCAGTGTTTTGTTTTGTGGGGTGTTTTTTACTTTTTATCTTCCAAATATAAGCCTACTGGCAGTAAGCTTTTAGTAGTCTTTTACAGATCCCCTAGCAATAGTTTGAAGGCTGTGTGGAGAATCATGGCTCACAAGTTTAAAAAACACTGTGCAAAACCCCTAATTTTCAATACATTTTATTTTTTCCCCTACCTTGTTAGCGTTTATTAAAAAGTGAACTTTGTTTTTTCAGATGAGGCCCAGACCTTTGATGAAGAGTGGCAGAATGAGATTATGAAGTTCAGGCCATCTAGAACTAGATGCACTTTAGAAGCTCCAAAATACAGAAGTACTCATCACATACCTAAGGGAGATGGATTGAGAAGGTAAAAAGAGCTGCCTACCAGAATAAAGAAATACTAGCAGCAGAATGAAAATTGATTTCTGAAGCAGTCTGTTCACATGCAAACAATGTTGCTGGCAATCTGATGAAAAAGTGTGGTTTATTCCTCTTCATGGTGCCACAATAGTGCAAGGCAGTATTTCGTTGTTAAATTCTGAAGAAATTTAGTATATTTGACTTGGAAAACATCTTAATGAATTGATAGGCTAAAATGGTGTCTGCTCTAGAGAACAGGCCAATCCTCTTAGCTCAACCATGTACAAATGTTGTAGCTGTCCACACAGTCATTAAACTAGGTGAGCTGCTTTAAGCTATAATCCATATTGAGGGCTAGGCTGATCTCTTCTCTTGGGTAAAAGGGAAGATGTTTTCCATATAGTTGGAGACAGACACACCCCTCTTTGCAGAGTTAGATTTCAAATGAGACCTCTCCTAATCTTAAAATCAGGGAGTATGTGTAGAAACGAGGTCTTTATCAGTAAATGCAGGAGCTGCCCTGCATAAACTGCTGTCTGCTAAGCTTCAGTTTTTTCCCCTCTGCTATTGACAGTGCCAGTGCAAGTTGCCTTGCATTCATCAGCTGCATGTTTGGTAGAGAATGCTACAAAAGGGGGATGGTCCTCTTCGGTAAACTACACAGAGCACTTTCCCTGTGGCACCCCTCCAATTCTAGAGGTTTATTACGGAGGCTACTTTACCTCCAGTTTCAGTTTTCAGACTAAGGTGTTTCTTTCCTGCCATCAATGTGTAAGATGAGGAATCAGTTCAACCCTATGGTGGTAACAATGGAAGGTGTTTTTGAGAAAGAATCAAATCTGTGTTACAACTAAAATAACTATACCTCCACTTAAGTAACTAACAAAATATACATTCTCCTGGTGGTTGTGATTTTTTGTTGCCTTTTGTTTCAGAGGGAAACCACTGGCAATTGCAGAATCCAGGGAGCCCCGAGGTTCTTTGGAGAATCTCAGTGTGAAAGGAACACATGTCCCCATCAGAAGCAGCAAAAAATAAATTGCTTCCATTCTCCATTTGAATGGAGTTTCTTCAGAGAAGATAACGGTGCTGCATTGCTTATGTTTGTAAAAGTATACACATATATATGACCAATCTCTGTTTTTTGTTTTAGTAAGTATTAGCGTGCCTTACTACTCTGATCTTTTGACAATTGAATGTTCTTTAAAACTTCAGATCCTTGGTAAAACCATCCAGTTTCAGTAAATTAAAAACATAACAATTTTCCACTTAAAAGCACTTTAATGGGTTATCACTAATTCTGTTTTAAAAAGAAAATAAAAAATGCTTTGATTTACATAATTTTTCTGCTACATCTGTAACAGTCTCAGGCTTCTTATTAAGCCTGCAACTATTAAGTAATGCAAGTATTTTTCCCCAACACAGAAAGAAATCCTTTTTATTTTGTGTGGCTGAAATAATTACTGATTTTTTCTAGGTGATATAGCAATTAATAGCAAGTTGAAGGCACTGTAGCCACTATATCTACCTATCTACATATCTATCTTTAAAATCATACTGTTACCTTTTATAGAATCCCCAGATTTACCCTGCTTTAGCATGAAGTGAAATAGTAAATTAACAAATACTTAAATTTTATTAGTTCTAGTTTTATCAGCATTTTTGTAAGCTGTGCTTGCATCTCTTCTGTGCCTAGATTGTTGGTTTTGTATTTCTGATCCTTTGTATATTTCCTTTGGAGGTGGCCCATTATTTTAATTCTTGAAGATTCTCTGTAGTAGCTTTTAATTATCCTGTAATAATACTGCTGTGGCCTAAAACACAGCTGTAACTACTAGTTACTGACCACAAAAATAGGTGTGAGAAACTGGTTGAGCTGGCAGTAAGTTTAACTGGATAATGAATGATTACACTGTTTCTTCTCTAATGAAAAGCTGATGAGCCCTGAATACTGGAAACCATTTCCCCTCAGCTGAGATGAAACATGTTTGTATTCTTGTGTGTCCTGTTTTAGCAAATGTAAGATGATCTTAAATCTAACACTTCATCTCATGCTGGTATTGTCTGGTTAAGGAGTCTAATGTTCCAGAGAAAAGACAACTCTGTGACTGAGGACAGGTCTTTGTATCACAAATGTTGAGTTTGTATGCTGTTCTATCACACAGAATTGATCCCCATACTGTATCACGAATAATTTCTGTAGACTATAACGCTATAGCATCATCATATATTTCAAGACTAAAACATTATAGCCTTAAAAAGGCACTATTTGTATGATAAAATAGGTTTTGTAAGTTAATCTTTGTTTAGCCGAAAAGCAAATGGCCTCTAAATCATATTTAACCTTTCTTCAGATTCCGTGGATTATTTAATTCTATGCTTATTAAGGTGCAAGTCAAAAATACTTCTATTGAAATCTGCTAAGGGCAAGACAGTTGTTTATTTGCTTGTTTAATGCAATAGTCTCTTCCTGTTATTAAACACTAGTGACAATAAATCTATGCTCTTGAACCACTCCACATGTGGGCAAGGTAAGAAGGTGGTAAGGAGACAGTAGCAACTGCTGATGGAAGGAGAAGCGGGAACTGTGTAACGAAGTCGCATCTGCCAGAACCCTGAATCTTTTACTTTCATTCAAAAGTAAGAGTACACCTCTGTGGCCTGATCTTCTGTACACTGAAGACAACATTGATTTCGCAGTTAATGTCATTGAGAATAAAAGGCCATGGAGGCATTTTTCCAGGAATGTCACTTAAGCTTCCCAGTGAAAAACAGTCAAAACCTTGTTACTGTTGTAACTTCAGAAGAAATCTTCGGTTTGGGAGCTGCTGCTATTTAACAGAAAAAGAGTGTTCATCTTGCAAGTTGTTTTTTCTGCTTTACTGAGATTAAAAAAAACAGCCCCGTGCCACATATATATAATCAACAAGTATGTACTTCAGTTTTAAAATTATAGTGGAAGGAGGCTGATATTCATTACAGGTTACTTTGTTATACAAGCCAGTCTTCTAAAATATAATGCAAAAGAAGCTGTTCTATATAGAAACATCAGAAACTGTAGTTCTTTAATAAAATTATTTATTTATGGTTATTGTTTTGTTTACACAACTATGTTAACTAGTGCATTTTTTATTTTGGCCTGCTTAAGAGCATTCTTATGTATGACACCAGTAACAACACAGTGAGGGAAAGTGTGCTGCTCTCTTTCCAGAGGGAACAGGTGCATTTACCACACAAAAAGCTCTGTGCCAGGAGGAAACAGATGGGGGGAGCATTTGTGTGCGGGGTGGCAAGGCTGGGTCTCTGTTTCAGACCTGCTCCTGGAGTGGTCTCTGGTGTGAAAGACCAGAGGTGCTTGGTGTAATCCTCAGCACTGGACATTTACTTTTTTATAGTTGAGAATATAGGTGCATGAATTTCAGCATGCCATCCATTCTATCAGCCACCATAAACATGCTCTTACCTGATCCTAAATTCTCTATTATTGTGGTATTTATAGAGAGAGACCATGCAGGGGACACTTGGTATATCTCTGATGCTGACTTAACTGAAATTTGGCTATTATAATGCAACAGTCACAGTGTTACAAGCTGGTACCTGGGCTCCAACCTCCATCTTCCTACCTGTCATGAGTATATTTTCCTTTCTCGTGAAGTCTGACACACAGCTGTTTTGATGAGGTGTCCAATGAGGGACGCCTATGAAGGGTAGCCCTGTGCTCAATACTTGCCTGCATCAAGTTGATTTGGTTCGGAGGAGTCAGCTAACCTTAATCTGCAGTTACAGCACTGCTCTGATGACTCTGTGTCTTCAAATATCGCCTTCGGTGAGCTTCAGGAGCTTCAACTCTAATCCCTGTGTCCAGGTCGTTAATTACAGTACTGACTGGGGTCAGTCCCAAGAAATCATCCCGGCCTGGCCTAGCAAGAGCCTCCCCCACCCCTTCCTCCACCGCGGCCAGTCTTTCTGACGACATCCGGTCTCGGCTGCCGCTTCCCCGACTCTCTCGCCCCCTGCTGCTGGCGGGCCCGCTCCGCATGCGTGGAGCCCCGGAAGCGGTGTGAGCCGACTTCTGCGGCGGACGGGAGCCATGCTGCGGGCGCTGGGGACGGGCCTGGCGCGGGGGCACCTGAAGAAGCAGCAACAGCCGCAACGGCGTCGGCGGCAGCAGGTACCGGCCGCGGCCATTTCATGAGAGGCGGCAGCTGCAGCGGCGCGGGCCGGGCTGGGGCGGGACAGTACGGGCGCCCTGCGGGGGAGGCCAGGGGACGCGGGACTTTGGGGCCTGGTGAAGCCTGCGAGGTCGGAGCGTGCCCGCGGGTTTGGGGACGAGGGGACTGTGAGAGGCCGGACGCAGATGTTGGTGCCCGGGCGCGCCAGCCTCCCCTTTAGTGCGGCGGCGGGAGAGGAGCTGGGGTGAAGGCATAGTGACAGGGAGAGAACAGACCTGCCCGAAAGCACCGTATCAGTCGCAGGGAAACGTGCAGCGGGTCGGTCAGAGGAACAGGAGGAGGAACAGAGGAGTCGAGAATATAGAGTGGGATTGAAACGCGGGACTTGGCGTGGAGGGGTCACCTGGCTTCTTCGAGTGTGGTGTGGAGCATAGAGGTGGCCCTGTGGGAGCTTGGAAAGGCTGTTTTGCTCCAAATGACCCATTGATCATAGATTGGCTAGAAGCCATAGAAAGGCAGTTGACTAAGGTTTATTTATTGATGCAGTGGTCTGTGTTCGATCTGCTCCTAGCTAAACCAGCAATATTCGCTTGCCTTTCAGTTTCTCCTGAGCTCCTGTAGGCGCTGTTCTTCAGGATTCCTTCCTAATGAGAGGATCCGGAACATTGGGATCTCAGCCCACATCGACTCAGGGAAGACGACATTAACAGAGAGAATTCTTTTCTATACGGGCAGGATTGCACAGATGCATGAGGTTGGCTTTCAGAAGACTCCAGAGACACCTTGCCAGGGCCGAGTGTGCTGGCTGCTGTTGTGGTGTTGCTCTGACTCGTTTGTCAGCACGGTGTGAGGGAGTTATGCTTGGTGGGCCCTTCGAGGCTCTTCTGGCCAAGCTGAGAATGGGAAACCTGCTGGTTTCCCTGATACCCCTTTAAAAATAACGGGAAGGCAAGGGGATAAAAAGAAATCTCTCCTTCACTGTGGTGTCCTCCCTCTTTCAGAATACTTCTAATCTCATTTCAAGACTTTACTTCTTTACCATCTCCATGGTAATTAAATGGTTGAAGGTATGTGTTTCTTTTGGTATAGCCAAAGAGAGACAGCTGTGAGAAACAGTGCATAGTGAGATAGTTTTTAGCTTCAGGTATGTTGCTATGTTAAATTCACAGTAAATCATAATTTTCACAGACTTCTCATTAGCTTTTTCAGGAATGAACCTCATAAAAGGCAAATACATTCAAGTTGTAGACAAAGCTGAAAAAAAGACTTGCTTGTAGTTTTAAGAACTGTTGGCATATCTGCTTTTCTTCACTGCATGAAAGATGATGCTCAGTGTAGAAAGCATCGCTCTTGCATGTGCAAAATTATTTGTAAACTCTTGGACTGAATTTCCTCCACCCCCTTTTTGTTTTTAGTATTTTATTTTTATTATTATTCTTTAAGGTGAAAGGTAAGGATGGAGTTGGAGCTGTCATGGACTCAATGGAGCTAGAGCGACAGCGTGGAATCACAATTCAGTCTGCAGCAACATACACCATGTGGAAAGACATTAACATCAACATCATAGACACACCAGGTAAGGACAGTTCTGAATGTGTTGGGATTGCTGTTCCTTCATGCATGTATAGAACATGGTGCTGTCTCTGTGGTTAGTAGTAGCTCAAGCTGACTCTATCTGTACAGCTGCAGAATGATTCTGTTGGCTGTTGCTCTTTTCTGCTTGTATGAGAAAACTGTTTCTCGTTATCTTTTCTCATCTGTAAATAATGGGTGTTTTTTATTATTCAGGGCATGTGGACTTCACAATTGAAGTGGAGAGATCTTTGCGAGTTCTTGATGGAGCTATTCTGGTTCTCTGTGCTGTTGGAGGAGTTCAGTGCCAGACAATAACCGTGAACAGGCAAATGAAACGTTACAATGTGCCATTTTTAACATTCATCAACAAACTGGACAGACAGGGCTCTCATCCAGCCAGGGCAGTACAACAGTTGAGGTATTTATCATTTAAAATTATTTGTGAAATAAATCTGAAGTATTCACATAGCAGGTTAAGGAAGAATATCAGAAAGGGTTTTTTTAGATCTGTAGTTGACAACTAGAGGGTAATACCTGATTTGAGAAGAAATCTTGATCTGACCTGTAAAATAACTCAATTTTCTTAAGAAAAACAAATGTCAGTGTCAGCTTGAGCTTGCAGTGACCAAAATTTGGGGGTTTGATATTTATTATTTTGATGGAACTATATTTGGAGCCACTTTGAAAATGGCTTTTTAATTTTTTCCTAGATCCTCGTAGCAAATGTACTGCAGCTTACATGAGGGAGATGACATAGGGTCGGATGGTTTTTAGTTCGGATAACAGAAGTCCTGGTTGCTCCTCACCTGCAGTCTCTCTGTGCCTAATTTGATCTGTGAGATCAAATAAGATAGGTGCATTAATATGTATTAAGGGAGAAGCAACTCCCATAAATCAAGTAATTTATCTGAAACCAGTTTGCACAGCCCTCTTTCCCATGAAGGTCACTCAGTATATCTACTGAGATATAGAGGGCTGGCTGTCACTCAGGTTAAAATGCAACTGGGCATTTTTCATCAGTATTGGTAGATTTTTGGCACCGTCCAAAGGAGAAAAGAGAGCGATTTTGTAGGAGCGATATGTTGTTCAAAGACATCTGGAGCATATATATAGAAATAGGAAGGGGGGTCCTTCTTGAACTAATTTATATTTGTTCACTTTTTCAGATCCAAGTTAAAACACAATGCAGCTTTTGTTCAGATTCCAATTGGGCTGGAGGGAAACTTTAAAGGAATTATTGATCTCATTGAAGAAAAAGCTATATATTTTGATGGTGAGCTTGGGTAAGTTTTGAAACTTGCATATTTCTTAGCTAGAACTGGCATTTTTTTGCAACTACCTACAATTTCTCTTCAGAGATGAAAAATTTTACTCGTTGGGAAGTTAGGGATGTGGTTTGTGGTAGTGCTGAGGTATGGCCTTTCAGCTCTCCAGGTTACGGCAAAATGATTCTGCAGGGTAGGGTTTAGTGATGGGCAGTGGTGGCATGAATTGTGTGCTAAGTGAAGTAGTGTGAAGGGGTGGTAGCCACACTTGCCAGTCTGAGAAATAGCAGACTTGCTTTATAACGGGAACTGATAACATGGGTTTGGCCTGAGTTTCTGGGATGAAGATAAAGATGTGGGTGAGGTTGTTGAACAGGTTACCTTGCATCCTTGCAAACTCCCTACTATGAGTGGGAAGAAACCTGCTAAATCATCAAAGATAACATGTTGATATTCTCATGTGATTTCTTACCCCTCCCCCAATATCCATGTCAAGAATGAATTTTCTTGGTCAGGCAGGTCGTCACAATGATTAGTAATTGAAAGGTTGATTCATTCAGTATTCCTTTAAAGTGGTTAAGTTATTTATGTGTGTGTAGCCAGAATCTTCGGTATGATGAAATTCCAGCTGAATTTAGAGCTGAGGCCGCAGAGAGACGTCGGGAATTGATTGAATGCGTTGCTAACTCAGATGATCAGCTTGGGGAGCTGTTTTTGGAAGAGAAGATTCCTACACCTGCTGAGTTAAAGGTAACTTTATTGTGGTGATTCTTCCTATAGCACTGTTACCTCACTGTTTTCTGTCCCTATCCTCCTCCCTTTCTCATCTCCCAATAAAAAAGTTCTTGAAGTCCTGAAGAAATTATTTTTGCTTGAGTTCTCTGGTGTGTCACCTCCCACAGGTGGACACCCACTTCACTCCCTGTTGAGGGCCTGTTCCAGATTTATTTCTTGCTTTTTCACTGAGAAGTCTGAGCTGGTGTGTGCCCTTCAGGAACCAGCAAATGGCTCAAAGATAGAGCTAGTAATTTTGTCATTCTGTTGCCTTCCTGTGTTACAGCTTGATGGTTTTGACTTACTTCGTGTCCCACACCACATCAGTTGTTGAGATGCTGTAAGCTGTCTTTGTGCCTAGGAAATCCTGCCTTGTTTTGTATTTGCATTGATCATGTTCATCTGAAGTGAAGAGAGCAGTACATTAGAAGGAAACTCGAATGATTTGAGTTGGAAATGCTGGAGGAAATAAATCTAGGACATAATACAATTTTCAAAAAAAAGGAGAGTTACATTTCTTGAAAGTGGGGGGAAACTGGGACATGATTAATTTTAAAATACTTCAGATATGAAGTGGCAGACATGCCAACAAAAAGGGATGCTCACAGAGGTAATGAATAACATCATTTTCTGAATATCCGATGGCTGTAGACTGAAAGTTACTTGTTCTTGTGACAGTTTGATATCACAGTTTCCCCAATACCATGTCCACGTAGTAAAAGGTGCAGGGAAGCGTAGGAAGGTCGGCTGTGGTTACACAGTCTTTGTGGAAGTCCTGCCACTGTTCAGTCCAGGATAAGATCTGTTGTGCAGTTCCAGGGAGGCTGGACAGCAGGCTAACGTGTGTTCCTTTGCTTAGGCTGTTCTGTGTCAGACTTGGCAATCTGCACATACTGTTGCAGATCATTATGTGTGATGGCATGTGATGGCAGCCTCTTCTTTAGGGATTATCGTTGACTAATGATGCCTCTTGAGCTACTGCAGTATTAGCTTTAGGCAGGACAGGTGCAAAGCTTGGCTATCCCAGCATGAGTAAGAGAGCCTGTGCTGCATGTGGACCTGCTTCTGCTGAGCTGTGAGCATAAAGTTAACCTGAGGACATGTACCCTTGCAGAAGAAGTGCTAAGCTGGTTTGCATTCACTGCTCAGCCCCATGCGGTGGATTTGTAAGTCAAGACAATGACCTGTGGCTGTTGACATGCAGCAGCCTGCTGTGCTTTGTGCCTTGGCACACTGTAGTGCAGAGGAACCATACGAAGGGCTGGATCTAAACATGGCTGTTTTTTCTTCTTAACACAGGCTCAGTGAGGGGATTTTTGTGATGCAGCTTGCTGTTTGCCACCACCTCTTGCTAGTGTCAGAAGTTAACTGAAGCAGTAATCTCATAGTGCCTGCTGTTAATAGTTATTAATAAAAAATTGAAACTGCTGCAAGAAAGCAGTTGCTGATGTGATTAAATGAAAAAGTGAGGTGTGAAGAGCCTTGCAGGCAGATGGCTTTTTCTAAGAGAGCTGCTGTTGGAGATAGAACAGCTTGTCTTTGAGCAGTGATGTTGCACAGAGTCTCCCTGGGGCCTGGAGCCTGCCTGACATGGCACTTTCCACTTCCTTTTGCTTTTCTTTGCCTGCAGCTGGGAGCTAAAGAAGACAAGCTGAATTGAGACATAAACATTATAAGCATGAGCTGTTTCTCTGAGTGGAGCCTGCTAGGCCAGCTGAGTTTGAGTCGGATGTGATCACTGAGGTTGCTACTTTAAAAAATAGCTTTGAAATGTAAGTCTGCTTCTAAATATCTGGCTTGTTAGCAGTGCCTGATTGCCTCTGTGGTTGTCCTTTCCCTGTTAGGGTTTGCAGTGCTTGCTTGCCTGGAAGTTGCCTGCTCTCTCTGTTGGTTATTATATAGGGGACTGGCAGACCCTCAAAGCTGACAGGTGTTGCAAGTCCTCTAAGGTTTGGTTATTTGAATCTTCCTGACTTCTGAATTTTGATTTCATTTTAACTTTGCTACAAACCTTGGTTTTGGAGGTGTTTTGGTTGTGGTTATTTTTTAATTGGTTTAGGTGGCCTACTGGTGATTAAAGTCTCAGGAAGAATATACAGGAATCTTTGTATCCCAACCTGGCTTGAGACAAAAGCACGAGGTTTTTTTTAAAAAGTACCAAGAAAACATCTCTCTTATTGATAGCCAGACATTTAGTTATTCCATTAATTAAATGCTACTTTATGAAGCCTGAGCTATTCCTGTTACGAAGCAGTTCTTCTCTACTTTGATAAAGACAGAAATGTAATAGCAGTTTGGGATACCTGTAAGGATCTGTCCTTCACCTGGCAGAGGGAGTGGTACTGGTGTGAATACACTGTATTGCTGTAAGAGGTGAGAGATTTTCAGCAAGAAGCTGTTTTTAATAGCTCCTGCTGGAAAGGAAATCTGTTACCAAGACAAATTTGTCTATTCAGCATGCCTCTGCTTCCCATTTCTGAAAGCCAATTAATTATAGCTCTAATGGCTGTAGTACTGCAGATGCAGGTTAATTTGTACTAATATGTCCCTGAAGATGGATTTTCTTTCAGTGGCCAGCAGCCAAGTTTCCGTTGAAAATATCTTTTTGTGGAAATGATGCTAAGTATCACTCCTGGATGCCACAGTCATAGCATATGATGTTTGCTGAAAATCAGCTGCTTAAGCATCACCTAATTTGCTGCTCTCCATAATGCTGCACTTAAGGAACTGATGTGCCCCAGGTATTCATTGGGGTACGCAGTGACTATAATCTTCATGTGAAAATAAAATTACTTTTTTCCCTGAGGTAATTGTAGATGAGGACAAATTGCAGTCATGTTGCTTTGTTTGAAAACATGTGGCCTAATAAAAACACCGGGCCTCAGCACAGCCATATTTCCAATGCTCTAGAGAACAGACATGGGCAAGATGAGCAGAATTGATGATGTAGGATTTTTACCTTGTATTATTTTTGTGTACTCATTACCTCAACAAATTTAAGGAACCACTGTTCTCTCTGTTAATTAAGAAGATAGCTTAGCTATCTGTCTTTAGGTACTTCAAATAACTCCCAGGTTAGATGATGTGGTTAACTTGCTCTGTCAAGGAGAATTCATTTCTTTTAGCTTATCAAAGATGATAGCTGCTTTTGATCGGAGTGAGGGCCTTGGTAAGCACAGGAAGATGGCATCCTCTAGTGGCAGGGAGAGGTGGGACAGAAGAGGCAATCTGTTTCAGTAATTAATTCCATGGTGAGGCAGATAGTTTCTGTCCACCTTCATGGAAGATATCTACGATCACTGTTATGGAAACTGTTGGTTCTCAGTTGTATTTTGCAACATTGTGTAATGCTTTGGTGAGAGGTGCTGAATAACCATGAGATTACCATGCAGTTTATCTTGCTCAGTTTGCCAGGATGTCCTGGAAAGATTCCCAAGACACTTGGTGCAACTTCAGCAGGTCTGTAGATGAACGTGAAGAGGTTCTTCAGTTATGCCTTTAAAACATCCTTTATAAAAAAGTGATGATTCACTCAGCATGGCACTTACCCAAATATCCCTTCCTTACCTAATTGCCTCTTTCAGAAGAGTTTTGTATAGTTTAAAGAACTATGGAGATACTGAAGCAGATCCTTTTGCTTTCACAAATTTAAACATGTATTGTTTCTGACATTAGCTAAACGGGGAATGAGGCATCCAAAACAGAAATAAGGAACCCTGACTTTACCAGCAGAGAATCAAGAAACTCTGAGTATTTGGAGGTTATCCTGGTATTTATCTTAGGCATTTTCATTTTTAAGTTGGATTTAAGATGAAGGATAAAGAAAATCTCGCAGAATTCTCTAGAATTCTGGTGAGCAAGTTTTGTGAGAAGCACTGTATAGGGCTTGTACAGGAGACTGTGAGGTGGGCGCTTTACTCCAGGAGTAGAGATGACTGGCAAAAAGACCATCTGACTCCTGCTTGATTGGTACTGCATCTGACTTCTGAAGTTGTTGCAGGAGGAGAGTAATGCACTGGTATTTTCTAGCTTGCAATCAGAAGAGCAACACTGAAGAAGTCCTTTACCCCAGTACTTGTGGGAAGTGCTTTAAAGAACAAAGGAGTACAGCCGTTGCTGGATGCTGTCCTGGAGTACCTCCCCAATCCTTCAGAGGTTGAGAACTACGCTATCCTTAACAAGCAGTAAGTATAGTGGCGAGCATACTGAGGGGTCTTGCAGTCGGGCTTCAAAGCAGTTTAATACGTAGCAGGCAATATTAACAAAATCCATGATCATTTCCCGTTTGTATTAAGTAATGCCACCATAATTTTGCACAAACTGCCAAAACTAAGGAAGCTCATCTCTCATTTGAGGGTTATGCTAGTATTTTTAACACGTTACTTGTTAAATTTGAAAAATTATTATCTGATTAGGCAGTTATAAATTAATGGCAACCCTTAAACTCATACTTACAGTAGAGAAGAGAGCACACGTGAAATGTGTAAAGAGCATTTTATTCTTTGGATGTGTTAGTTGAAGTAGATGTACCTTCACAATTAAATAGCATGAAACCCAACATTTGAGCCAGTAAAATGCCCTTAACATTTCAGTTGTAGCTTAGAGGCAGCCATCAGTTCTTCATAATGTGCTCAAATTGTTCAGACAATATAATCATAGCTGAACAGAAATGGTGCTATAAATACAGTTTATGACTCCTTCCTGCTGCTATGCCTCTCACTGCCCCTAATATCTGCCTGCTAAAATAGACTAAACTTCACATGTGGTGCATTGTCAGGAGAGACACTGCAGTGTCTCTTTCTTCACTCTAAAACCAGACTTGCTAATGAGTTGTGTCTGAGTGTATGATTAATTGCTTTCAGGGCAAAACAGTTAGATGATATGAAGGACTAGTGAAACTTGTCATGGTTTTGTCCTCCGTTTAGGGATCTGCTGCAGTTTCTCTGAGATGCTTTCTGAGCATATGGGAGCTGCATATGGAAGCTACATTATGTCAGCATCTTTAGGCTTCTGTTACAAACCTGTGAAACTGAAGGCCCTTGAGGCTTGCTGGGGTAGGGCTTATGTTTAGAGGACACTGCTATGTTTGCTTCATAATGTAAAACCCCTCTTTATCCCTATTTTTTTAAGGGATTCTGAGGACAAAGCCAAGTTCCTCTTGAACTCTGCTCGAGATGATTCCCAACCTTTTATAGGCCTTGCTTTTAAACTGGAGGTAAGCTGTTACCACTGTCCTTCCTAATGCAACAAACCCAGCAGAGAAGGCAAAGCATTTCCTGCAAGAGTTGATTTATGCAAGTTCTACTTGCAGCAAGCTACTGATGCCTTGTCATTAATACCTGGGAAATGCCTTTCATTTTACGGGAAAAGCACACATTTAAAGCTTTGTATTTTCAATGTGTCTGTGCATGTGACTGCTTTTTCACTTGGCTGCTGTGTATATAGTAGGGCTAAACCGAAAGTTTCTGGAGAATGGATATCCAGAGCATTACCTAGCTGATTTATTCAGTTGCCTGCAAGTTTTCCATGCTACTAGGATCTGAGCTCTGTGGAGAAAAAGTTGTAATCTCATTGTGCTAACCTTGAAGGAGAAAGGAAGGTATTCAGATTCATTGTTGGTGATTTCAGTAGAAAACAGAATGACTCCAAAAAGATGGTACTACCAAAACTTGTGTAAACAAACAAACAAACAAACAAATCAGCTTATATTAAATTTATTTCTTTTTAAAAACCGCTTTCAAGCATAAATTCCAGTAATGTGTCGAACACTGCCAATTTAGACGTTTTAAAATGGGTTATGTCCCTCAAATATTTCATTATTCTCTTAGTTAAAACCTGAAGATTTGGGGGTTTTGTGGGCTTATTTCAGATACTTTCAGAGACAATTCCTGGTTTTGAAAACAATGGAATGCAAGAGAGTCAGAGGGGAAAAAGTACACAGTTTTAACCAAGCAAGTTGTTTGCTACCTAGGGAGTAGCAGTTCAGATTTCATATGGATAGGGCTGGCTAGATTGGTAGGTAGCATACGCCTCTGCTGGGAACATCTAGGAGAGGTAAAGTTGGTGAAGTAAATAAAATTGCCAGGAGATGCCAAGTTCAATTCCAGAGCTAAGGGAAAGCTGAGACTATGTCAAAAAAAGTTTCATTTACATACCCAGTATGTAAATTCAAACCAGAAACATTTAGTCAGCACAGATGATGTATTGAATAGTAGTAGTTTTGTCTCCCAGAATTACTGTATCTGACCTCTAATGAATTTTTATTCCAGGCTGGACGTTTTGGGCAGTTAACCTATATTCGCGCCTATCAGGGCATGCTGAAGAAATCCGACTATATATATAACACTAGAACTGGGAAGAGAGTGCGCGTACAGAGACTTGTCCGTATGCATTCGGACAACATGGAGGTGAGGGTGAGAGGTACAATCCACATGGGTTGCCTTTTGAGCTGCTCTCACCAAATGAGCTGCCTGCCTTTCAGCTGTTTCTGAACGATGTGATATGTGAGAGTTCTGCCTTTGTTGTTAATTCATACTTGCCTCTAGCACTTAATAGTGCTCTGCAAGAAACTGGAATGATCTCTAGTGTACTACTTCCACTGAAGTGGAAGAATCTTTGCCCAAGAAGCATTATCAAATGGCTTTGAGGTGATAGGTAAAAAAAGCCAGCTGTGGTATTATCCTCATACTCCATATTTTTGGGAGAGGGGAAATAGGATTGGCAGAATACGTGCAAAAGCTTTCTTTCACATGATTACCGAATACAATTCTGAAACTAAAACAGCTGCAAATACCAGTCTTTCCTGTTTAGGATTCCTGAACTCTATAGGTGGGTCAGGACTGCCTGATGAAACATAGTATGTTGCTTGCTTCACACCCTTAAACTAGAGTATGTTAGCATCCAAGATGAGGTCTCCTTTTTGTGCTTTGAATAAAGAGAGAAAAGATTTACAGAGCTTTTTATCAAACCTTCCATTTTCAAAGGAGCTTAACTTCAGGCTTTTTAACACATTATTTATGTATCTTTTTAAAACCAGATGTAGGTTGTAAGATGCCTTTCAGTGTTATCTAAATAGTAAACTTATCTTTCTTAAGGATGTAAATGAAGTTTATGCAGGAGACATATGTGCGCTGTTTGGAATAGATTGCGCTAGTGGGGATACATTCACTGATAAAACCAGTACTGACATTTCTATGGTGAGTACACCTTCTGTATGCCTCATGCATTGAAATCTGCCAGGATTTTGTCGTATGTTTGTAATAATTTGTTCAGTCTAAATATTTTCTGACGTATATACAACCACAAATGCTTCTTATGACTGTTACACCTCATGAAGCCTGAGTGTATGGAAGTATTGGTATGGGCAAGAGAGATACTCGTTTACTGTGCTTGAAATCAAAGATTTCGTGTTAGCAAACTGTTAGAAGTGGATGCTGTTACTCAAAAGGATTAAGCTGTGTATTTGTCTGTGTATTTAAATACATCAGTTTGGGTTGTAGTTTTTTTTTTATTTATATATATTTACAAAATCTCACAGGAAGCAGACTTCTCACCAGTGTGAAATCCAGTACATCTAGGAAATGGTGCTGGAAATACTGTGGCTGCCAGTACAGCATGCATTATGTTATAGCCTTGTAGTAATCCTCAGGAGAGTTACATAGTTTTGTTACACTATGATATTAGATACAGGGTAGATAAGTAAAACAGTCATCCCCTGTTTGTAAGGCTGGGTTCTTGTGATGAAACTGTTCTGGAGAAATGACATCAGCGAGTATAGTGGAACTTAGTTGTATGATCTCTTCCTTTATGGCCATTGCAGGAATCAATCCACATCCCTGATCCTGTCATTTCAGTAGCTATGAAGCCTTCCAACAAGGTAGGAGGAGCCTATGAATCAACCTTCTTCTGACTGAGTTACCTTCCTTTGCTGCTTTTATGATTTTATGCAGGTTAGCAGTTAAATATGGAACTGCAGACTAAAATGAGCAGTGTTTTCAAATGTTTTATCTGAAATACTTAAGAATATATCATTCAGATAACGCAGCATGTGACTGCATTAGATGGTATCACTTAGCCCTAAAGAAGATGCATGTCTTTGACCTGTGTAAACATGGACTCGAAGTAGCTGGAAGGATAAATACAGTTATAAATGTGTGGCTGTGTTTCAGAAAGTAACCTCATGAGAGTAAGAGTGCCGAGTAGTTAATAGGAAAAATTTCAGGCCTTTTTGTTGTGCAGCTTCTGGATACTGAGTTAATGTTTTCTTGCGTGTGTAATTGTTTTTCAGAACGACTTTGATAAATTTGCAAAAGGCCTGGGCCGCTTTACAAAGGAAGATCCCACTTTCAGAACCCATTTTGATGATGAGAGCAAAGAGACCATTGTTTCTGGAATGGGGGAACTGCACTTGGAAATCTATGCCCAGGTAATATGGAAAGCAGATTCTATGGATTCTACTTTTGCTGGTTTTCCAATCAAGAATTCTCTTTCCTTTCTGTCTTCGACTAGAATCTATCTGCAGATGGCCTAACTGATGCCAGTCTTTACGCCCGATTTTGTAATTGGGTCCTTAAGCGCACATCAAGTTTACAAGATACCTGGAGGTGTACAACTCCATTTGCTTTAGTGTAATCAGGGTTATCATGTGACAGCTATTCTGAGATCTTCGCAGCAGAAAGCACTAATTAATGTGAACGCTAGCTGCTTAGGGAAGAGCTTAACTTCTTAGTCAGCTTTTGAAGGTTCTTCCTCTCTAGTGGTTCTATTTTGAAGGCTTGTAAACTATTTCAGTGAAACTTACGCATGAAATGTTTTTACTCTGGTTCAAATCCATAAAAAATGTATTAAGCACTATGCTTTGCTTTAGCAGCCTTTGCTTATCCTTAATTTTACTGTTGGCAGTTTCCTACAGGAGAAATATTCTGTTTCTGTGGTTTTAAATGTATCATTCCATAATAAGAAATTACGCAGGCAGGAGGAAACAGTTAGTGGTTTATTTGTTTCTTTCAAGTTGATGTCTGTATTTTAGTCTAACACAATAGATGTATCTGAAATGTTGACAGAATGAATTAAAAATGGATTTTGTCTTTAAAAACTTAAATTTGAGTAAAATAACTAATGCTGTTCCCTTTTCCTGTATGTAAAGCTATAGGCCCTAAACAAGGTTGCCTGCAAAATGACAGTTAATAATTTGTGATGTTAAAAAAAAAGAAAACAAAACACCAAGAAACCAAAAGTCATTCCAAACTCAAACCTAAAAACCCCGGTTAAACCTGATTAAGTTTCTCATGTCAGAAACATCTGTCAGTAAAATGATTTCCAGTAAATTGTTCCAACTGAACAGTTATGTATTTAATTTTCCCCTTCAGCGAATGGAAAGGGAATATGGTTGCCCCTGCACCATAGGAAAGCCGAAAGTTGCCTTTAGGGAGAGCATTTCTGCCCCTGTGCCGTAAGTATCCTTTCTGGTAACACAGCTTTTTTAAATATATTTTGATGCAGACTTTGATTATGTAGCAGGGAAATTGCCCTTTGAATTAACAGATAAAAGCACAATGGACAGGAAAAGTTTAGCTGAGGAAGAAGTCAAAGTCCTTGGCTTCTTCGTACCTTGGTTGTGTATCCACCATCATCAACTTATCTGGCCTCCATTCAAATGATTATTGTAGCATTTGAGCTTCTTCCATTGCTGTATCAGGTGGTTCATTATTCCGATGCATGTTTCGGCTGACGGCTGTCCTGTGTCACTTGAACACCATGCTGTGGGTGCCACAGAACTGTCATTTGCCAGGGAATGATCTCCTGCAGGTAGAAAGTAACACTGTAGAAAGTGATCTTTTCTTTGGGCAATACCAAACAGGAATTGACTGCTGCAATACAGCCACACCTGGGCTGAGTATAAGTAGTTGATCAAGCAACAGCACAGGGTAAGCACTGTAACACAGAGTCCTGTGACCTGTCCAAATATCTGAAGGTCTCCTGCAAGTTTTCTTTCAGCCTGTGTTGTGCTCCATGCTTCTACAACTACATTTTTCTTTCATCTCAGCAAGTTTTGCAGCTTGAGCATGTCTATGTTGGATTTCCCCTCTTATTGTTAGTGCTATTGCTATTTTGGGACACTTGGCCTACACTGAACAGAGCACAATGAAAAACCTGTGCTTTTGTTCTGCAGTGAGTTAGCTACTGCTTCTCTGGAATTTTTCTTCATAGAAAATTTAGGAACTAAAAGCGCTACAGGTGCCTCGACTGAGAATGTAGTAGGGTAGGAAGCAGTGGAGCTGTAAGTGGGAGTGAGATCTCTGATTATTATCAGTGGATGATTTATTGCAGGAGGTTGTGCAATTGGAAACTTCTCTTTCAAGTTTTATGTATTTTTCTTATGAAAACACTTGCTCAGATCTCAAAATTATGATGGAGAATAGCATACAATGTAAATGCTGGTTTGGGAACCAAAGTTTCTGCTGCTTTCTTCTGTGAACTGCTGGGTTAGATGATGCCTCTCTATACTGGTCCAGCACTGCTGTCCTCTAGCACAGAAGTGCTCTGTAGCTCCAGCTGGAATACAGCTAAGCAGTCCTGGATGCAGGCAGCTGCTACTTCCCTTTATCTCTGGCCAGTTTGGCAATAGTACCTCCCAGTAGGAGAGAGCTGTGAATGACCAGTATATTGAACTTCTGCCATTCCCAAGAAGGCCCAGAAATAGCTGAAAATTACTGTCTGCTCTAAAAAGTTCTTTTTAGAAATCAAGACTTTACCTGGGAGACCATTTCGTGAAGTAGAATCATGTAGTCAAATTCAAGATACTCATCACTTCTTTTCTAGAAAGACAAGATGAAAAGGGCTGAGCGAGGGGCTTCCCCCTGCCTTAAAAAAAGTGACTCAGTTCTCTTTGAAATACATCAGAGAATTTTTATGATAACCAAATGAAACAAATAAAGCAAATGGAGCTTAGTCACTATAACAAAACAAAAATATACTGTTTTCTATTTCTGTGATGTCAAAAACTGCACTGGAGACTGAATGTGGAACCTGTGCTAATTCCTCCCTTAAAGAAGCCAGATTTATCTCACCTTCAGGAACTCATTTGGGAAGGTAACACCTGATTCTACAAGATGTCAATTTAACCCAAATAATACTAAATAAAATTGTCAATAGGATAAGACTTGGAATACACTCCAGAAGCTCTACAAGTTACCAGTGATTGTGTGAGTGACGGTGCGTACACTGGCCACTGGAACATGCTCTTTACGTATCTATTGTTCAGGGAGAAGAAAAGGAATGAAATTATTGAAGAGAAATGGCAGCTGGTTTACTTTAATATTCTTATGTCTGCCTTATCCTTAAATTCACCTGGTTTGTTAAAGAGGGGTTTTTTAATCTTGCTCATGCACAGCCCTGCAGCATCTGTGAATTGCTTTAAGATAGCCATCAGAGGGAGCAAAACCTTAACAAACTGCTCCCAGAATGAGTTTCTGCATTTCTTTCATCCGCAGAATTTCATGTGAATTCACTGTCCTGAGTGGCAGAACATTTGGGCTCTAAAAGTTGGTTCTGAAGAATCCTGATCTACTGGGTTTTCTAAATATGAAACCCTTCTTCTTTACCCTAGCTTGCATACTAAATTTCCTTGAATTTCAAGTTGACCATCCCTTTAGGAGTTATTCTTAACTTATATGTTCTCCAAATAGAGAGGAATGGGAAGAATCTACCATTAAATTCTGTTAATTTAAAAACAAACCCCAGACCTGCTCTAACAATAGCTTTTCAAAAGCAAGTTGCTTTATTAGTTAAGCCTGTTCCAGGCAAGACGTTTCCAAGGCCTGTTGATAGTGGCAGCTAATGACTGACTTAATTTGAACAGCTACAGTGAGATTTTTCAGTTATTTTTATTGCTTAGCTTAGGGCACAGATCCAGATCTGTTCAAGATAAACACTTCACTTGTAACCACTCAGAAATAAGGGAAAACAGAAAATACTTTGCTCTGAAGTATCCTAATCCTAGTAACTGTAACTCTATCCCCCCCCCCCCCAATACTTAAAAAGTAGTAAGTTTGGAGAGAACAAAGTAAGCCAGCTAATAACGAGAGTAGAATTACATCAATACTTTCTTTCTTGATTAGCATTTTGTGGTGAACAAGCAAATGGATGGAGACTGCAGTAGTGCAAACAGAAGCACTGTAGATTGTTTTATTGAATCTGAGGTGCAGCCCATTGCTATTTGTCTGGACACAGCTATTGCAGAGACATCAAGCAGCATTACTGTGACTGATTGCTAGATCATGGTGTAGATCAAGATATAAAGGACAGTATTCCAATGCATCTTATGCAGATGCAAGAACACTGTCAGATTGGCCTACATTAAAGATGGAGGGCAGGAAAGTAATACAAAACTGTAATCAATGTGATGACCTTAAAGTGGAGAGTCAATTTTCTTAACTGAGCAAGTGTAAAATGCTGCTCTTGCCAAGAAAACATGGCTTCTATAAGCAAAATTATGAAGAGAAGTGATCTAAATAAACACTGAAGAATTTATGATTTGTTAGAAGGATTAGGTCGAACAAAAAACTACACACTGGTTTAAAAATGAACCAGACAGAGAAGTTAAGTTACATCTGAGGTTTCTTGCTTAACAGCTGTAATCCAGTACATGCCACAACTCCTTAGCTCATAGATGGTATTTTTCTTGCAGGGCGTTGATGATAACTTACCACTTGCTTCACATGTTTAATTTGGGCAAGTTGGAACTTCGTGTTCTCTGTTGAGTTCTGCCATATCACATAGCCAGAGGCAACCCATGCTAGCAGCCGGATGGGCTCCATTTCTGGGGATGTGTTGCCGTGGTTGTCTGGCAAACAAAATAAATAACAAAAGCAAAGTTCACATAGTTGCAGCCATTAACAGAACCTTATCACCTAATAGTAAGGTTTGGTGCTAAAGTCACTTAGGTTCCTCACTGGGTGTCACAGATCTTCCTTATAATTGTGGAAGAGCTGCTGCATCACCGCTGTTTTTCTCCCACTTCTTTCTTTTAATATACATTCTATAAGATCTTCAAGGCAGCGGTTGTTCTAAAGTAAGAACAGACCCTAGTACTACAGTGGGGGTGTCTGATGTACTATGCCAAGGACAGGTGCAAGCAGTAAGCAGTACGCTGGTAAAGGAAGAGGTGGCAGTAGCAGGTGGTTGTCAAGAGAAGTCACATGTAAATCATATAGAGGTTGTGGCTTTCATAAATGATTAATAAAACTACTAGGGTTGTGACTGACACACCACTGCGAATAAGAGAAAGTGAGTCAGCATGTGTTCAGAGTAGGACTAATGGCCCCTCAGCTCTGGCTTTTATAGGAGGGGTCCCATAGGGATCATGGACCACTACCAGCTGAGCTCAGGTTTGCTTCTGGTGATGGAGATGTTGCCTCAAGACCTTCCTTCTTGTCCAAACCCCTTCTTTGTACCTGGTATGTTTTCCACCACAAGCTCTTTTTCCAGGCTCTTGATTCGATTGTAGAATATGTTATCTGCTTCATCTGTGTTCTTAAGTTCTCCTTCAATTGTGAATTGCACATCTGGAGCAATGTTTTTGTTGCCCATATGATGAAGAACCTCAGCTGTGCAGTTAACAGTACTGTCCTGTTACAGAGTTAATTATGTGTATTAATATTTGATTATATAGATGTATAATATTGGTAATTTGTAGTTCTAAAATTTTTGGGTTTTTTTTAATGGAGTTGCTGTTTTTCTCTAAGTCTGGCCCATACAGATTTGTTGATTATCTAAGAAAAGGTTAAATTCATAGTATTTCTATGAATATAGTATAAGGGCAGTTTTCTTTCTGCAGTGACAGAAGGGGCAATGGTTGTGGTGCAAAAGAATGTTACTTTGGATCTTCAGGAGGAGTAATGGGTTAAAATAACTGCAATTTGCAGCTACATGACACTGAAATGTCCCTGTGATCCCTCAAACATTTTCTTGTGTTACAGTGGTAGGTACCAGATGTTCAGGGCTTTTATGGTGAAAGACATGGGGGTTCCATTATGGTAAAATTTAGTTGTTTTTTTTTTTTCTTCCTGATTTGCAGTATAGAAAAAGCTGAAGCATGATGTCAAGTATGATTAACTGGTGTGTCCACTGGCCTTATCTAGGATTAGCAGCATAAACTGATGCATTTTTATTACGTGCCAGTAGTGCCAACTTCTGCCCACAGAAAGTGTTAATTAAATAAATGTGAACTCACTTTGTCAAGGACATCTTCTAACACCAATTCCAGATAGTACTTATGTCCAACACCATCGATGTCCTAAATAAGAAAAACATTAAGAACATTTATTTTGTGAAATGACTTTGCATTGTGTAAAAAATTCTAGTTACTGTGAAGTGCTGCAATGGTGTGATTTTCTACAGCGGCCCATACAGAGATAGGATATTCTAGTTCTTCCTGCCATGTTAAGATCACTTGTTTAATGTGCACCTGATTAGTACCTCTTCATCCATCTCCATTCTTGTATACTACGTATTTGTCCAGTATTTGGGCTCGGTGTGTCTTTCTGTCCAATAATATGCAGCTTGGCTTAATACTGAAGGAAGTTTTAACTGGGTTCCTTATATTAAGCCTGTGTGTGCTGTTGCCTTCCCGAGGCAGCCTTGCCCTGCCCGCAGCCTGCCCGTCAGCCCCTCCGAAGCGATAAGCGATGCCGCTGCCCGCCTTCAGGAGGCAGATAACCTGCCATCTGCCCTCTTCGAGCTCCGGCCCGGCGCCGCAGCCTGCCCCGGCTCTCCCCCCGGCCCTCCCCCCGGCCCTCACCTGCCTGCGGCCGCTGCGGACGGCCCGCAGCGCCAGGCCGCGCCCGGGGCTCCCGCGCCGGTAGCTGAGGTAGCAGGCGGCCAGCGCCGCCGCCCGGGTGGCGGAGTGGTGGCTCGGCGGCAGCTCCATGGCGAAGGGGAGCCTCTTCCTCCTCCCGCAGGAAGCGACCGGGGCGGAGCGGGGCCGCCCCGCCGGCTGCGGCTCACGCCCTCGCGGTGTCTCGGAGGGGAGCGGGGCCTGGCCGGGTTTCCACGGGTCTGGCCTCTCCCCTCCGGCCCTGGTCGCTGTGGGGAACAGCCCTGGCACACGGGGGTTGTTACACCGCCCAGGTACCGCACCGAGTGCTCACGGGTGGAACTGATGCAGCCCAGCCGGTGGGAGCGAGGGCAGATGTTCTGGAGAGGGTTCACATCCCTCCAGATTCGCTTAAAAAATCGTTTACCAGTTCGTGTTCACAAGTTTTTTCCCTGATCATCCCCTTGTTCAGCGTCTGTGCTTAATAGCAGAGTACTTTGTGGGTGGAAACTGTAGGTATGTGCAGAAACAGCAATAAGAATCTTGTTACTCAAGTCAACAAAAGCACACGCCTACAGGTAAGCAGGCTTTATTAGCGTTGCTTGCCGAGTCTGTGTTTTGTGAGATTTAACTCACCGCAATCTCTCAGCTTCCCGCTTGCAGGATGAGTCCTGATGCCCCCTCTTTGGGCGTTAAATAGCCTCAAGCTGTTTAATCTGCTGTTATACAGTGTTCAGCCATTTTGTTTACACAGGACCAAACAGAATAAAACAAAACGAAGAATGGGAACTTTTCTTCTTTTTTTTCTGTAGAAAACTGTGGTTTGTGTAATGAGTAACGTGGTTTTCTTCCTAGGTTTGAGTATACGCATAAGAAACAGACTGGTGGAGCAGGCCAGTATGGCAAAGTTATAGGAGTGCTTGAGCCCCTGGATCCAGAGAACTACACAAAAGTAGAGTTTGAAGACAGAACCATTGGGACAAATATTCCAAAACAATTTGTGCCTGCTATTGAAAAGGTACAAAATATTTTTGTGTGTGTATATCATATAAAAAATACTGGTTGTTTTCCTGCTATACACTCCGCATTTACTGTGACTGCCTTGCCCAAGGCAAGGCAGCTTTTCCCATTACTTCAGTGGAAGCAGAATCACATTTGTGTGGTTTTCCTTCATTTCTGACATTCCTAGGTTTTCCACTTAATTTAGAAGCTGCAGTTTGCTTTCTTTAGTGGTGTGTGCTTGCTCTGTTTCCACAGCAGTGCCTCCATACAGAAGGTAGGCTTTCCTGTCTTGCAGTCAAACAAGCCTCCTGTTGAATCTGCTTTTTCATGGCCCCCTTCTGCTTTTGATTGTGGGCACACGATTCTTATATCTTACCCCGAAATATGTAACTTTTTTGTGTGACTTCTCTGAGGCCGCCTATGTAGGAAACTGTAATTAAGCTAGATTTCCTGCATGAATTACCAGATGTTCTTTATTTTTTCTCTCTTCTTCAGCCTTCCTCTCTGTCTGTCTCTCTGAAACTGTAATTTACCACATCCTAATTTAAGTAGTACCTACCATGATTCTTGAAATCTTACAATAATGGATTCACCCAAAATAATTCCTTCATTGCTACATGATGCAACACTTAAAGATTTTTGCCAAATCCTTGAAAAAGCCTGCAGTCTTAAAAGATTTGTTCTTTAGTTAAGTGGTTAGACTAGTTCTTTCCACAAAGAGCATTCTTTTAGGTTTTGATTGTACAGTCCCTTACCAAAGCAAAGTTTTGAGCTGAGACATTTCCTTTTTTTCTCCTTAGCTTGTTACATGATTTCTGTATTTTAGAAAGAGCACTATTGAACTGAGGTGCCAAAGAATGATAGTACAAAGTTTTCAAATGCTTGGGAATGGGAAGTTTTCCCTGCTGTTTTTTCTCCCATTATCTTACCAAGAAAGAAGGTCCATTGGGTAGATGCAGGATTGCTGTTGGACATCATGAAAGTTTTTGGTGGGGTTTGTTTTTTTTTGTTAGTACTGCTTTGGTTTCTAAGTTTAATGCTTTTTTACAGGCTACTGTTAATGCTGCTCTTCTTTTAGGCTTTGTTTTGCTCTACAGACTGCTAACTTGGGAGATGTTATTTCACAGGGATTCCGAGAAGCATGTGAAAAGGGTCTAGTGTCAGGGCACAGGATCTCTGGAGTGCGGTTTGTCCTAGAAGATGGTGCACATCACATGGTGGACTCCAATGAAATCGCTTTCATCAGAGCAGGAGAAGGAGCCCTGAAGCAAGGTATAAATCTGGTCATTTGGATCCGTGGTCCTGCTCGCTTCCTGATTGTTGGAGCTGAATCTAATGTACTCATTTCTATAGGTTCATTGTTTGCCTGGTGTATCCTATGGATAAACTGAAAGTTTGGCCAGTTGTGTAGAAAAGAATATCTGCAACAGTTTATAGAAATTTTAAGGGAGGAACAATGGTTCTTTTGGTTATTTGGAAAAATCCTGCTTATAGTACAGAAATACCAACAACTTCATTTTTAGACAGTTACAAAAAGAACATTTTATCAAACTGTGTGCCTTCTGGCATTGCAGTCTCAGAATGAAAGGCAGGGGAGCTGAAATTCCACATAGTTGATTATTGCTTTCCCCCACTGATGTGAAAAGCACTTAGCATTAACCGTAAAACACCTCTTTGGTATGCACAGGGGTACCTTGAATTACATCAGGCTTGTTCTTTTATGTTTGATTATTTAATTATTTTTTTCCCCACTCCAGCTATGGAGAATGCCACTGTGCGTATACTTGAACCCATTATGGTGGTGGAGGTGATGGCACCCACGGAATTCCAAGGAGCAGTGATAGCTGGAATTAATCGCCGTCACGGTGTGATCACAGGGCAAGATGGCATAGAGGATTACTTTACTCTTTATGCTGAGGTTAGTGTTGTTTACTGGTTTCTGACCTTTCCTTTTCTTGTGCTGTCTTTCAACTCCCTTTACTGTTTTACTTCCTGTCTATTGTATGTAAACTTGTAGCTGTGTTTTTCAGTGGATGAACATGACATTAGTTTTTCAGCAGATAAGTACTGTGCAGTGTTAGTGAACCTACTGTAGATTTGTCTTGCTCCAGAGAAGCCCATTTACTGACCTAAAGTCAGATGATGGCAGAGAAAGAAACAGCACTCTGGTTGCTTGAGATGGGCCGCCTGTGCTACCCAGAACAAATCTGGGCAGCAATACAGGCACACAGAGCTCAGGGGAGGGTCTTTTTATCTGCTGTCTTCCTTTAGCTGTTGCCTGCATTAATGTAATAATTGCAGATAAATGCACATTACTTGTCTTCAATGTTCCTTCTTTCCCCCCCCCACCCCCCCAAGCTGTGTGTTTTCAAGGGGTGATGAGGTAAGTCATCGTTTGCCTTAGCTAAGGGCAGGCTACACACTGCATTGCTTCTGCTTCGTAAATTATTTAGAGCTGCAGTCTTGAGTTATTTCAAGCTCAATCTCATGCTGGATGTCACACATTACTGAGTCTGGGGTATTCCAATATGTGGGGCATTCAGACTCTGATGGAATTTTGGGGGTTTCCTGATGGAAAAACATGATACAAATTAGTTGAAATAAGAGGTATTTTACAAAAATAGATAATTAAATCACTACTGTTTAAAAAGAGCACCAGATTTTGCTGACTCTGCAATTGTAATTGAGATTAATAGGATGATAACCAAAGTTGATGGAAAAACACGTTGTTTTTACAAGAAGAGTATTTTTGGATTTTAGGTGCCACTGAATGATATGTTTGGATATGCTACTGAGTTGAGGTCTTGCACAGAGGTATGTACTCACTGGACTTTTTGCTAAAACATATTTATTTCTGTAAATCAAGTATGCTAATTTTCATCATTGTACACAGTGTATGCAACAGTAAAAGCAATAAGAATCAAGTGCAGAATCAGAAAATAAGCTTAGAAGTTTTGCTGTTACGTTAACTGTAGCTTTTTAAGTAGCATAGCTGTCATTAGCTGTGTTATTTCTGGCCAGAAAATTTTTTCATGCTTTGAGGATAGAAGAGATTTAGAGTTGTAAGCAATACAAAATGGTTGGTATCAGTAAAGGTATTAAATTTACAGGGTGGAAAAGTTTAGGCATATGCCTTAAATTATGGATGTCTGCAGGTAGAAGAGATTTTTTTGCAGCAGTGCGAAAGAGTTAAGGTGCCCTTTTTTTGTAATCTGTATGCCTGTAGTTATATGCTCTTTGAATGCATTTGAATTGGGTGAGTCTGTGTGTGACATACAATCCACTGTTCCACATCTGATGACACAAAAGTGTTGGTTTTCTGTAGGCACTCAAATGGGTTGGTATTAATACCACAGTCACTTTTAGGTTTGAAGCAGAATTGTCACACTGATACGGTAGGAACCACAGGTGATCTTAAAGTCTTGTTCACAGGAACAACATCCAGACACTGTGTGGGTTTGTATCTCCTATGTGTGTGCCTCAGTACATGATGTATGGTTCGTCATACACACTTACTGCGTGTATTTCACAGATGAGGGTGTGGGCTGCTAAATAAGTTTACACTGTTTGTGTCCTTACTTTGACTGTTCTTTCTCCAACTCTGCAGGGAAAGGGTGAATATACGATGGAATACTGTAAATACCAACAGTGTTCACCCAGCACTCAAGAAGAAGTAATTAACAAATACCTCGAAGCAACAGGGCGACTCCCTGCAAAAAAGGGCAAAGTCAAAAACTGACTCTTTTCCTGTCATGTACATTGAATGTTTTTTTCACAATATTCTCCCAAAGCTCCATTGCCCAAGCTGTGACAGCAGTCAAGCCTGGCTGGATAAGTGCAAGCTGCAGCAGGACTTGGACTTTTCATTTCATCGTAGTATCCTTCCTTTGTGGTGTTCTCAGAAGCCACCAGGAGATTACAGAATTGTTCACATGTAAATGCTACTCATTAACAAAATATATAAATGTTCAAACACAGATGTTAATTTGTCTTGATGTTAATTTGTCTTAATCCATTTGTAGTAAAATAATTTTAATTTTTTACTTGACACATCATTATTTTGTAATTAGGCCAGTTCCTGTTTCCCTGGTTTTGAAAGTTTAGAAATTTTTATTCAGGAGACTTGGCAAACGCTGACCTGCTGGGCAGGTATGGGGGGGATAAGCCACAACCCCATGCTCAGCGTTCTGTCACACGTCCTCCAAGCACAGATCCTTTGGCATTTCCAGCATCCCTTCCAGAGAATGATTGTCACTTTTCCCTCCACATCCTTCAGAAACCGTGCCAGAAGCCTCCAGAGTCTTTCTTGTCACCAGATTTGCCTGTTGCTGACAGTAGGGGTATTTAAAGAGGATTGAGGAGAACGTATGTAGAAGTTAACTCTCTGACACTGTGAGTGACATGGATTTACTTTATGGCCTTGCTTTATTGTTAGAAAACTAAACCAAAGTTTGCTTTTCCCAGAATCTTCCAATCAGGAGGACATGTTACTGCTGATGCTAGCTTGGGAATCACTTGAATGGTTCTTGATCACTCAGAAGAGAGCTGAGACAAGGGTACTATAGTTACGTGAGAAAGAGTAGTTACCATTATTTACTTGTTAATTGCTACCAGTGGATCCACACTGGGGTTTCTTTGCATGGTCTGTCTTCCTGTCCTGCTCAGCTTAACAATATTTTTGCAGACTTCCAGTAAACAGAGAGTGAATTTCCAGTTCAAAACTAGCCACATTCCTGGCACAGAGTCAGGGTTGATGGTTACCAGACACAGACAGAACTGTAGCAGCTGGGCAACTTCTCAGCCTTTGCAGGCAGACAGTGAAAATTACTTACTTGAACCTCAAGAACAGTGAGAGATTGGTCATGGGTGGTTAAATGCTGTCTAAACACAGGCAAAATGTGTATGAGTACAATACTGCTTTGAGCCAAATCCTTCTTGATTCCCTTACACTCACAGCTTTGGTTTTGTGAGAATACTCAGCTAGGACTTGTTTCACAAAAAGCCCTGCAGGTTCTTGTGACATTTTGAGATTTTTTCAAGCAAATACAGCACGTTTACCAAAAGTCAAAGATGGCTTATAAAAGCAGAATCAATGCAAGGCAGAAATGGGATAGTTATTTATATATATGGCTTCTATGTTGTGCTTGGTTGAGGCCAGTTTTGCAGTGAATTCCTTGCTCATGGGTGCAGCCAGGGGAGCGCTGGTTCTCTGCAGACCTGGCACAATGTGGTCCGCCCAGCTCAAGCACCGGAAAGAGAATCTGTGGGTGAGGGAAGGCTCACAGGAAACTGGGGGGGGGGGAACTGGAGGTAGGGTGGAGAGCGAGAGCCTTGGGACACCCTGGCCTTTGTTTCTTTGAGCATGATGGAGCTTTTATTTAGTCAAATTTTAGGTAGTGCTCACATTATGTCATAGTTAGGTGAACTCTTCCTAGCAGCAAAGAGGGAAAAGAGTGATTCCTCTTCTCTTGCCTCCACCTCTTCCAAACAGGCTCTGCGTAGGTTTTGTAGCATGGAGAATTCACTGTGAACCTGCCCAGGCCTTACCTCAGACCATGTCTGCATTGATGTAGCCAAGGATTTTGCTGTATGATAGTGGGTTCTGGCCCACTAACTGAAATCTTGGCCCTAAAGAAGCTGGTGGAAATTTTGCCTTTGAGTTCCAACAGGTTTGCTACTTCTCCAGAAGTTACTGAGCAGCTTCTCATCTGACATGAGTTTGTGTTGCTTATTAGTAATCAGTAACACCAGTTTGGCAAGTTAAAAGTACCCAATCCTCTCTTTGGTGTCTGGAGAGCCTCATGAGGTAAGGGAACTGAACATGCAGTTAGGCGTGTGCTAAAGTAGAGCCCCAAAGTCCAAAATCTGTGCTATTCTTTTAATTCTAAAAAATGTTTTCATCACCAGTTTCTTTAAGAAATGTTGCCATTACAAGCTCTGATTTCATGCTTTAGATGATGGAGAATGTTTTACCAGCATGAAGGAAAACACCAGGAGTATGTGAAATGCTGCTTTATGAAATTTATTGTAATGCCTGTTATGTGCTGATATAAAAAGCTTCAGTCAGTAAAAGTACATTGGACTGTAATACACTTGTGTAAAATGCCTGAATTTGTAGGGGTTAACAGGTCACCTGCCTAAATAGTTAGAACTGTCATGTAAAGTATCTTCAATCATGGTTTCCAGTTACAGATCAATGATAGCGCAATGTAGCACAAATTATAAAGAATAAAATCATCCCAGAAACAGGCCGTGTTTCCTGAAAGAAGAGGTACTTACGGATAATGAGTTAATGTAACCTGGGAGAAATCTTTCTCGGGGGGGGGGGGAGGGAAGCAAACGGGAGACAGTTTGGCACTATCTGAGCAAATGGAGACAAGGTAGCAGGACCTCCGCTGGAACACAAATGGAGATTTGGGCATGACGGGATAAAACCACATCATTACCAGAGGACTTTGCTGTGTTTAGGATAGGCACAGGATGTAGCAGCTTTAATCCCCAAGCTATTTGATGGGGTGTTCTGCACCCCAAACCCCACTGTGGAAATTCATCCATACAGAGCTGTCCTGGTGGCAGTTTTTTGTTCAGGGCAATAGAAAGAACTGCAAACACAATGCTAGTGCCAGCGATTTCTGCCTGAGCAGCACTGCTATGCAGGGCTCTGGGATGGGGACAAGCACAGGCAGACCCCAAAACATGTTTTCCTTACATCAGTATTTTCTGAGTTGCCTTCGCAAGTAAGAGAGAGGAAACTCAGCTGGTGCTGCAGGGCACAGCAGTGCCTCAGCAGGATGAGGCTGTGCAGAGGGTGGTTACCAGGGCCTCCTGGGGAGATGTGTTGTTGCCTGCACTCATCTAAGTCCTTCTAGAGGCTGAACAGCAGGAGGAGATGGACAACTGAGGTCAGACAGCGGTGTCAGAAGGAAACCCAACTTCCATCCTGCGGAACATTATTGTGTTTATTGGAGTTGTAAGTTAAAAATCAGCATGGATCTAGCACAGCCCTCCCCCTGACACCCCCCCCCCCAAAAAAAAAAGAAGAAAAATAGACAAATATTTCTTAGCAACAGATTAATACATTTCTCAAGTTTTTTATCCAAATATATTAACTTTGTTTACGAACTATGTTATTCAAAGCTACAGTAAGTCAGTGACATAAAATAAACTTGTGTATGTTTCTCTGTGTATATATGTAGTAGCAAAGTTTCTTATGTAGAACTCTACGAGTGCAGCAGTTTAAGAAACTATGGGAATTAATTTTGGAACAAGACAGACTAGCGAAAGCACTCATTCACGGTTCAACTTGTATAGAAAAATTGGAGCTCCAGGTCTATTAATACAAGGATTTCTCATTTAATACAGGTATGTAAAACTGACAATTGATTTTAAAGATTGGGTCCCTTTTCATGTAGAACCCCAGCAGCTGATCCAGATTCCATTCCAGATCCATCTTCCAGCCCATGGTTTACTGAAGCACAAAAGTATTTTACTTTCAGAGGATGACCAGGAAGCCAAGTGAGGCGCATGTGACATGAGATAATGTCCTGGAGAAGAGAATTAAAAACACACATCTCTTACAATTTTGATGCTGTTCCTCAGTTAATGAAAGGAGGTAGTGTACGCCTGCACTTTCTTTACCTGTGTTGGAATTTCATGAAGCAGGATGGTGTAGTCAAACTCGGTAAAATCATCTTTCTTTATCTGGGTATGTTTCAAAAAGAAAAAGATTAACAAGGACACAAGTTACAACTGTTGAACTTTAGAGGCTACTCAGATTTACTTGACTGTATTTAGCTTGCTTAGAGAGCGAGGTGAGGTGAGCAGGGCTCGAGATGGCTGTGGTCAGTGAGGCAGATTTTGTGTGTGGAGAGACAGGGAGTTAGCAGCATATCCTGCCTATAAAAAGCTGAAGGCATAAACTGTGGCATGGCTGTGCAGTCTGTTTTCTGACCTGAAACTCAGCTGACTCTGGTCCTAATTAATTGACTAACCCTCAAGTAACTTTGAGAATTCTCCCTGCTTTTTAATTTTTTCTTCAGAGAGATTCTCATTTGAAATAACTCAGATCTCATTCTAAATAACTAGGGATTAAAAACTGAATGCTATCTATTGATCAGAGGCGATGGGGGGAAAACAATGCTTTGGGAACTCCTGTTGATTACACTGCAGGTGTAAGGTGTGTTCCCTGAGAATGCAGGTTGGGCCCTGACTGATGCTGTCTTTCAGCCTGGCTAGGCTTCACTTCACTTACTCCACTTACCCACTGCTTCACAGACTTCACTTGTGCCATGAAATAGCCCACGTTTTCTCTTGACTTTTCCCACATTATGTAGCTGCTGCCAGCAACAGCCAAACCCCACACTGATTCCAGGGCAGGTTCAATATTGCCATGGCTGTCTGCAAGGGAGAGAAAGAGTAATATAAAATGACTGATTCTGTCTGTTCAGTGGGAAAATTATAAACCTGTAGCACTTTTGGCTGGTGCAGCACTACTCCTGGGAAGCAACATTTGCTTTTGATGTTTTAGTCTTGAACAGGGAGGAAAGTGATGCTGAGCCTGCAGTCAGAGTATGAAAGTGTGACAGGACTGAAATTGCCAAGAGGCTCTGCTTACTGGGTCCTTGCTGGAAGGGGAGAAGCCCAGTATCCATGACAGTGGAAGCCCCTACCTAGTGGCAAGGAAAAGAGGGACCGGGTGCTGTTTCCAGAATGGAAAAATTCTGTTAGTCTTCCCTTGTGAATGCCCCCTCACCTGGGGAAGGGGTGTGGGTTAAGGCAGTTGTTACCACGCGAGGATGTTTTGCATTTACTTGAATATAAAACTGCACAGGCTTAGCTTTTAAATCCAAAACACTTTCCCAACAGGTGTTGGGTTGTGGTTTTTTTCTCCCCAAGAATTGTTGGCAAGGTAGACTTGTTCTGATAGTTCTATGGTATTAGGGTGCTACTGCAAATGCATGTGTCTCCTTTTTAAAATGCATGTACATTTGCTTCTGTTCTTAAAAGCACACAGGATCTTTAAGATAAAATGAAATACAGTTAAGTATTTGGAGGAATATACCTGGAATATTGTTTCCAGTTATTGGTTTTGTTTGGTGCCTGAGTTTTTGGTAAAGTCTGTTGTCCTCTTCCTGGATTTGCTCCTGGTCTTTGCTCTGCATGCACTTGATATTGACAACAGGTGGAGACTTTGTATTCGGATACAGCACTGTAGCAAGGCAGCTCCCAGCATTTTCCTGGAAAGATAGAATTTAAACGTGTTGCCTTTAATCAAGGTTTTATTTCCCTGAAACACATTCTTAAAAAAGCTCTTGATACATGATGTGAGGTATATATATGGAATATGTATAGGTCTTTGTGAGATACTTTGTATAAAACTATGCAGGGTCAAGAAAGTCTTCAGAAGGCTATAATTTTCTTTCTTCGTAGGGGTTTTGTTTTGTTGTTTGTTTTTTTTTTTTTTTCCCAGAAAAGTAATTATGTTAAACCCACAAGGCTAAAGTGATTTAACAGAACTTTTTAATCAAAGTGTGTCAGAAAAGCACTAAGTCATCTTGGAAATATGTTTTGAGTTCTCAAAAAATAACCTCAATTGATAACAGGGACTCTTCTTTTGTGTACTTTAGCCTTGAAACAAAAATAATGCTTCATAGTAAGTTCTGAAAATAATTAGAATTTCGTAAAATGTGTGTGCAATGGAAAAGCAGATGCTTACAGTAAAGTTGTTAATGACAACTGTGACAGAATGAATGGAAGGGGGGCTGTAATGAAAAAAACATACAACTTGTCAACTCTTTATTCTCATTTTGGTGTGCACAGCAGGGGCTACAGCTGTATAATGAAGACCATACTGTTATGTCGAGTTTGGGCCATAGAAGGACTTCACTCAGGTGCTTATATGTGACTAATGTGATTTGAAACATAACAGGCTCTTCAGGCACTGAGCAAAGTGGGTGACTACAGTGCTCTGACCACTTGGGCTCAGACAGAAACTGAGGGCTGATGAGAGGAAATACTCGAGTGATCCCAAGCACAAGCCATACCCCATGCTGGACAGACAGGTAGAACCATAAAGGTAAGTCTTTCCATTGTGAAAGACCCACTTATGACAGCACTTAAATGTAACCTGTTATGAAGATATTGAAGTTCATTTAACACATTATCAGAAGAAACATGGAGGACCATAAACTCACCCCACTTTTGTAGTCTTCGGTAGTGAACTGCAGGTAGTACTTGTGACCAGAATCTGGGATGCTCTGGAAGAGAGAAGGATTCAGCAATTGGCATAACTATAGCCTTATGTACTGTAACTTGCCATAAGCGCTGAATAATGGAAACAAGGGCATCATGGCTACCTCAAGGAAATTGGTCAGATGAGAAGCACTGAGAAAGTCCTAAGCAGCAAACTGCAAAGGATCTCAATACTACCGTTAAATAGCCCTTACATTAAGCGATGGTTTCATCCCTTTCCTCAGAGAGATACACAAGTAGAAAAATGCAGCTTTAAGTCCTTCATGGGATGGATCGATACTGAATAACTTTAAAAATCATAAAATTACAGATCCGTGTTCAGCCTCCAAGGAGGTTTCTTTTTTGCACAGGCCATCAAAGTGCTCCTGAATATATAAATGAATCAAATCTTGCTGACTGATTCACAGCTGAACAAGAATTACACTAAGGCTTTACACTAATTTAGCCTTAAGGGTGCTAACTTTTCTAGTTATTTTTTTCTACATCAACTGGAAAGAGACTGATTTCGTTACACAGCATGGCAGAGCAGGATTCTGATCTGCTCTTTTTGCCCTGGAAATACCAGTCACTAACTTGCTCAATCAACTATCCAAGATTCTGCTTGTTAAGGAAGAAATAAAAAAATACTCCATGCTTATGGAAGGCAGCCAGTAGCACCTCTTATAGCGTAAAGCATCAGAAAAGCCTTAACAGAGTAAACTTTGAGATACGCCGTTTTCTTGGATATCAGGGTTTTTTGTTTGTTTATTTGGGTGGGGGGTTTTTTGCTGTTGCTAACAGAAATTGTTCAGTTAACAAATTATATTTTTGGTGTGGGATATGAGACTACCCCGGCCC